AGTTACAAAATTATGCTGCTCATTGTACCCTCTGTTGCGGCGTATGTATGACAAAAGAGAAGAGTGGCGTGATAAAACTTTGTTTCATTAAGACTCGAAATGGAGCAGTTGCGGACGGAATTAAAATTTTTAAAAAGTTTTCCAATCTGAGGAAAACAGACAATATTCATTAACAAGTTTTAACGAGATTAAGAATTTTTGTGACAAACTGAGTGTTGGAACTAATTTGTACAGAATGAAATGAAACTCAAAGACATGCAACATCTGTATCGCTTTCTATTCACATTTTTATCATTGTGGTTGAAGTCAAGCTGGTGAAGCGAAGCGTGGTGTGAAAAAAGAATTAAATCCTTTTAAAGCGAATACTGCAAAGTTTTATCAACTTAATTCCCCTCCCTCCACACCACCATCCAAAAGATGTGATGAACAAGATAATAGAAAAGGCGGTCTTAATTACAAACCAATGTAAATTTCTAATATAGTTATCACGAATATTTTTACTGGATTTGCTCTTACGTTTCATCAGACAGACCTCATCTTCATTTGATTAGCAATAGTGTTCGTACGTATGTATGTATATTATACAGCATTACGGCATTGGTTGGTTGAGAAGGGAAAAAATGCGCTGGTAAATCTGCTGACTAAGTAAAGTAAAACTAAGCTTTTTTAAACTTTTTGATTAATACTGACTTTGTAAAAGTGTTCAAACTCTTAAACTAATCTGTAATCTTATGCAAATCAAGGTGAAATATTCATAAACACGAACTCATTGCAATCTTGGGTAACAACGGTAAAAAGACAAATGATATTTCCTGCCTGCCATGTAGGGGAGAAGTCGTGAGTGAGAAACGAGGGTTCACTTCTAAAAGCAGAGCTGTGGGCATTAAACTGTAGTAATTAATCTTGATGAATATACAAACTTGCTGCTGCTCCCCCAACTTTTCTTTCTAGATCAAGTGACACATAGGTTATGGTCAGGTGGAGAAAACCAACCGTGTTATTGGGACCAGACTATTTTATTTAACCGAAAAACGTGAATTCATGTTGAATTTTAGCTTGGTTCTTGTGCTTAGCAGACCAATCACGATTTTTCGGTGAAATTCACTGGCTGTGTATTTATACCGCAAATTGGTTTTCTCTACCTGGTTATGCTTATTGTAAGGGGAAAAGGAATTGAACTCTTATCGTAAGACATCCAACCAATTCATGTAGCAAATGCACAACACAAGAAGTAGGTCTGACCTTGAATTAACCTACGTTTTAACAAATCACAGGAAACAATAAAATGCAAATTGAACCCAAACACGAATAAATCCGTATTAAGCAATGAAAATTATCTTCTCAATAAAATTGAAAATTGTTCAATTAATCCACCACCAGACCTAACCTAACCGAATGCATGTTTTAGACTGAGTGAGTACTCGCAAGAATTGGCGTAATGTTTACATACATCATTTAAATCTTACTCAAAACGTGACAATTTTTTGACTTGATGAAAATTTTACACGTAATCCAAATTTGTCACGGCGATCCAGTAATCGAAGAAACAGGGATTTTGAATTAGAATTACTCTTGAGAACGACTCCAGGTCACGCTTGCTTAAGCCGAGATAAAGAAAACAACGAGCAACAAGTTTGATTATGGCGAGAAGCAATAAATACTTCATACTCATTTAGGAAAGATTTAAATCGGCTGCAATTAATATTCAAGAATTTAACACTCAAACTCGTTTTCTTGCCTTCATTATCATAATTCGCCCGAGGCAGTTGGACTCATGCGTACTTGCTTCATATATTTTACCAAATCTCTAAATCCCCTCTGGACGTCAGGTTGTTGGTGGTTCGTGGTAGGGAGTAGGTTGGCTCGTTGGTTTTCCTCAGTACGTGGTTAACAATGTCTACATTTCTGTGCTTACATACTTTATGGGACTACTTGCCGTGTGTCCTCCCTGGTCTCATCCTTTCGTTGGGAAACCTAATAATGTGCGATTAGCTTTAAATTGGTGTCTACTTGGTCATTAAAAATCAATATCAATACCATTCCACCTTCAAGTAGATCCCACCCGGATGAACTACTAAAAAAGTGACACTATTCATTCTATTTCGATACAAATGTATGCTCTTCGCTATGCATACGCTCATGTGAGGCTGATCAATTCTCTTTATCCATACGTTCAATCAAACGATCAAACATTCCAAAAGTGAGACCAAGAACTGAAAAGGCATAGGACATTCTCCACTCTAAGAGAGCAGGTGATCTAGATAATTTTCATTTGTCCTCCGTTTGGAGCCGTGGGATTATACGGAATAATAAAGACAAACAGTTTCCATCCTTTATTTCATCTGTGGGCTAAATCAATAGATTCCCTGTCCTCGACATGAAAGGATAATGTTCGGGTCCAGGTGTCACATATGTGATGGACAATTTCAAATATCGACAGATGCAAAGAAAGGAATATAAGTGTAAGGAATATCTGTAAGGGGACCACACCACCAGCTCCTTCATTTCCTCATTATGTATTACAGCGAGTAGTAGAGAACACCTTTATTACTTGTTGCAATAAAGCTGTGTAGGCTTTAACGAATCCCATTTCTAAAGGGACATCATTTTCATTTCCCCGTGGCTTAAGTTTACGTACTTATTATGATGCTAAAACTATACAAGTTGTGAGCTGAAAGGAAAAAAAACATTTGATTCCATTACCGTTTGAGGAATTACAATTATTGGTTGGTTGGTGGGGTTCATTTGGAGCTGGTTGAATAATGAAAAGAAACAATATTGAGTCAAGCTGAGGAGTTTTCCGACTCAATGCGAGTGATTGAATGGCTGGTTGGAAGGAGAGGATGAGAGAGGGAGAGAAATTACAATTGCAAATATCACTTGTACTAACTTGTAGATACATTTGTACATATAACCGATCAGCAGAGGACTGAACGAACCAAAGAAAGAGTAAGTGAGTCCAAGAAGCAAAAGTAAACTTGAGACCAATGCAATGATTCCAAGGAAAAACTCTGCAATGGATTGAATCAGAGATATTATTATTGAATCCGTGTGTGCGCCTGTTCGTACCTGATGGTCTAAAACGACGTAATGCAATATTGAATCCCAGAATGTCGAATATGGTTCAATTCTGGTTCTTAAATGGATGCATAACATTATACCAAATTATTCCAGCCAGGCAGCCACCTCCCATTGATATATTTTATTATTATTTGTGGGCTGGTTGAACACGTTCATTCAACCGCTTCAATAACTTTTTCTCCTTTCATTTTGATTCTACCTTCCGCTCCGTCTCCCGAATTTCGTCGAAATGAAGCCATCCTATTAGGATCCCACTTTTGGAAATGTTTCCAAATTCAGATGCAGTTTCATTTTATACTTACGGCAACACGTCACCCAACACATTTCTTTTCACGACAAAGAAACCGTTTAAGTCACTTTGTGAATGAACCTCTCAAATTGAAGGGTTTTGTACGCAGTTACGGGTTGAAATGATTTAGAAATCAAAATATATTCCTCACTGAGACTAATATCAGAGAGAGGAGTGAGTAAATCCAAAGTTGTATAAGGTTGGATTACTTCATACAACGGGTAATTGTAGGTAGACATGCCATATCATTCGACTTCCTGTTAAGTGACATACCAACGTATTATGGATGTACATACGTATATATTTCCTCGTGTATACTAGTATCGTATGCACCCTTGTACAAACAATGTGGCAGCTCAGTAGCAGATGTTTTCTTGTTCGTATATATATGTACATGATTCTTAAATTTATGATGAATGTCTGTGAAATTATATTGTATCGTATGCTTGATCGTAAAATATGAAATTTTTAAGAAAGTCTAATTTGAGACAAAATCAAAATCGATGCCTGGAGTATCTAACATTGTCGTCGTAGCGTCCCATTCAGCAACTTTGGCACAATGCATTAAATATGGTGATACGGTAATTGGGTAGTTGTTGAAGGAAATAAAAAATGAAATGCTCGTGAATCCATAAAAAATAAATAAATGCAAATAACACATGGACGAAAATAAAGGTACATACACTTGATATGTATTTGCGTGAAATAATAAAAAGCATATAAAGTTCATAATATTCCGAATGAACAACTTAGGATAAACGTTAAGTATAAGGTTTATAAGACGGCGCAAGAATCACAACACAATATTTCAAAATTCGCCTAAAATAATTAAACATAAATATTAAATACAACAAATTAAATTGTGTGCATGCATGTAAATAGATGCACTAGGGAACATGAACCACTGCTGATTTGTTTCTTATCTTTGTATGTTTGTTGCCTAACCTAAAAATTACACTAGTTTACCAACTAATAACGAATGAGTAGCGCATAAAACTATAACAAAATTAACAATAATAATGATAACAAGTGTATTTTATAAAATAAAAAAATGAGACGTTGCACTATTCAGTTATAAGTTAAATAAATTATAAATGCTGGTTATCAAACTGTAACAACAAATAAATATATCATTCGTAAATGCGAATAATAATAATTGTAAATTATGTGTCTTGATGTTGAATAACACGATTCAAAAGTAAATAATAATTAAAAAATGATTATTTTCACCTTCACTCCTCTACTCTTAAGTTTTGATGATAAAATGCGATTTAGTATTTCTTAAATATATATGTATCTGTATAGTCTCGACTCTCAGATAATTATATTATTCGTTTTTTAGCAAAAGTTTACAATACAATATTTCACCTGGATTATTATGCTGGCTGCAAATACTGATACATTTGGCAAATTTTATATTTACTCTGACAATACACTCCGTTTAACAATGATGACATGAGGATGATACATGATAATAATAATATTATTAGCATCTCTATTGTGCAGTTCTTGCGTAATATTGTTGTTCACCTCGACTCGACTCAAGTTCAACCAACATGCACAACACTGACCAACTAATTATACTACAGAGACAATACAACAGCGAAAGTTGTTGGAGACTTTCACTTACCAATTAAGTTGGACAGTTCTGAAATTCCGTTGCAATGATTTAGAGAATTTCCCACCTCGTCCAGGATAGATAAGCCATCGGAGGTTGAATCCGCAGGTTGTTGGTTTGAGGAGGAGATGCTGAATAAGTCCTTGGCTTTCCGAATCTCCCCATTGGGACGCGATGATAACGATGATGATGGCGCTGCTGCAGTCAGATGTCTTTCGGGGAATGTCCCATTTGTAATGGCAGCTTTGATTGCATCAATATGCGCCTTGGTGAAAATGTGATCTTGCACTGACAGGTTGGTGGCGTAGGTGTAGCCACATAAATTGCAGTGATGGGGGGACTCGGGGGTTGATGTCTTTTGAAAAGGTATTTTGCCTTTCTTTTCCTTAGCTCGTTGATTTTGGAAAAAAACTTGAACGACTCTCTTATTACATAAACCTAGTTCAGAACCTAACATTTCACACTGCGCCATAGTTGGCGTCTTAAAGTCAGCAAAGAGACTCTTCATCACTTTCACCTGCAAAGAATAAATCATACCCATTGTTATTCCTGTGGAACATGGTTTCTGCAGACATAGGGCAAATATTAGGTATTGTGACTCACACTGTGTGAGCACGGTGGAAGAGGAAAAACTGGAAAGTATCATGTTTCTCATGCAAAGCTCTAAACATGCACATGCACATAATTCGATGCAATGCAATGAAATATGCAATTGAACACGAAACCAACAAAACAGTACGAGAACAACACACTAAAATAAGAAAGCCTATCTAAACTGCCCCAAATTCTATACTGAGTGCAATAACACATATATAATGATGCATAATAAGAAGAGGTTTACATACACGGGTTGTTTCATATGTTTAACTCAATTCATCATTCCACTTAGCAAGTGCAGCATCACGACATATTAAATATTCTATGGCAAACTCAACAAGAAAATAATGCTGCACAATAAAAAGGAAGTGTGTGCAATTTCTAGGTTATAGCATCAGCTGGAACATCAACTGATGTTTGATCTGATTTGTTTCAGGACCTGATTTGGTTGGAGTTGAGTTCTAAACCGCTTATTCCCTCCATTATTGTTGGTTTTCGGTCCAGATGCTGCTGGTCTTTGGCTAGCATTGCTAGAAGCGGGTGAGTTAGGATTGCTACAACTGGGACGAGATACATCTAATTGCAACTCAGCATCGACTCCGTCGTCTGTACATCAAGTCAAGGCACACAAGTCAAAAAGTGCATTAAAAACTCATTGTCCTATTACTTATTGCTTATTTTTCTCTTTTTTGTTGGAATTTCTAGTCAACCTGTGCACATTCCTAATTTATTTACTACATACATACATATGTTTGCCAATGCAAAATACAAAACTTGGTTGTAATAAATGGTAACAATGTGATCAATCAGCGTACGTATGGGGCAGTTTGATATGAGCGTTTGTCTTCTAATATATATGCAGTGCACAGGTGTGTATAAATAAAGGTGTGGATTGGGAAAGATAATGCGAATAATGCTTATATTTTTGGGGCAAAGAAGAAATATTTTTAACGTGCTAATTTACCTGACAAATAGTCTTGAGTGTCCATGAAGCTGGTATCCAAGGGTTCAACTTTCCCCAGAGCGCGGGTGAGGTCCACAGGTTTGGACAGGTCAAGAGGACAGTCGCCTCCTGTGGGGTTTTCTGCTCCGGGGACACCGCCACTGGGGGATGGGAGCTCATTCTTAATGAAGCGAACATCGTTGGCAGAGCCTCCGTTTTGGGATGCAGCTCGCTTGAGACTTTCTTCATACAACTTTTTGAGGGAAATTTCTAGTTCGGCGTGAGTGGAGAGAGAATGCAGAAACGGGGACATAATGTTTGAGGAAGGAGAAGTAGGAGCAGCACCAAGTGAATTTGTAGAATTTGCACCAAAATTAATAGGAACTGTTGATTTCGTTTCACCCAAGGGCGATGAGGCTGAGTTTTCTTCCTCGTCGGGAAGATTATCAATATTGATTTCACCTTTGGTATACTGTTCAGCATGTTTTGCTGCAAGATGCGTCTCCAGTGCTGATTTTACTTTGAATAAAGCTGGACAGAATGGACAGCGCTTGTTTATAACTTGTGCGTGTGCCCGGAACTGACCTATAATTCAATGGGAAATTGAAAATTTTTACTAAAGGGGATTATGTGAGTGGGGGTGGTGGGGACGTACCTTTACGCTCTCGAGCTCTCGTATTCTGAAATACGTTACAAAAATAAGCCATTACTTACTACAGTTGCTTTGCATAAGAATTTAGACATGATTGAGATGATAGGGAAATGTGAGACATGATTGAATTGAATGTATTTATGTACCTGGAACCATACTTGGACGACTCTTTTTTTGAGTCCGACTTCTCGTGCAATTGTTTCCAACATCTTTCGGCTTGGATTGCTCTCAATCTGGTACTTTTGATACAAGTAGTCCAACTGCATAACCAACATTATAACAAGTTTATTTCAAATAAACTTGAAAACTCCATGCTGGTTGGTAAAGGCAGGTGAAAGTTGCAACAATTGGCTTACTTGTTCTGGTAGTATAGTTGTACGCAGACGTTTGTCCCTGGGCTGCTCATCTTTATCGTCGTCAGTCATAATTTCGTCAGCGGACCATTTACGTTTTCCTGTTGCGTCTCCTGCAACGCTACTTGTGGCAGAATTTGACTCTGTGAACGAATCTTTTAGCTCTCTGATTTCTCGTTCTCTCTGTTGTTGCTGCTGCTGCTGTTGCTGTTGAGATTGGCTTTGACCCCCGTGTGCCTGGAGTTGTTGCTGCTGTTGGGAGTGAGCATGTTGTTGCAAAATGCCAAATGGGCTCTCAGGTGAGAAAGATGGAAAGAGATTGGGATTCATGATGTGAACAAGTTGATGTTCTCGCTGAAAAATTAGCCACCATAAATAAATAACCCGTACCCATGCGTTGAATTAAAATTTCACTATGTGTATGTAGATGCAGTGTTTGAGTTGTAAATAAAATTTGAATCTTACCCATAAGTCAAATCGTGGGAATACCAGGTTGCATTTGTCACATTGGAATGAAGAATCGCTTTGAACTTCCAACTTTTTTAACTCGTTTGCAAAAATTGATGCATTTGCACTCGATTGGCTCACATTTGCACTTTCCCTTCCAGACTGAGTATTGCCCAAACCAACTGGACTTGGTCCGCAGCTTGAAGCTAAGCTATTGTTGTCTGTCACTGCACTACAGTTGGAATCATCAGAGGACATGGCGGCGGCTACAGAAGCAGCAGCAGCTTGTGCTTGGGCTGACCTTTTTGCATCCTCCTCTTTAAAGCAGTGAGTCTTTTGATGGCGAATTAGCTCGTAGTAGCGTTGGAAAACAAGCAAACATTTCTTGCACTGGTAATTTAAACCTGGCGTCCGTTGGAATCGACCAGCACTCTCATCCCCAGAAGAATCTACCGGTGGCTGATTTTCATACACCTTGCGCGCTTTTTGTCGAGCTATTTTAGGGATAGGAAAATGCATATAAACTTTCTAGTTTTGAGAAATAATGTCTTACAAGCATATCGACTAATGAGTATTAAAAGTATTTTGTACCGTTCTGAAACCTATATAAAATACAAAATGAAGAAATTATTATTATATGATGAATGCACATTTACACATATTGCAAAAGTAAAATTTTATGAATTGTACCAAACTACGATGACACGAGGGCTGAGTGACAGCATCTTTGACAAATACTCCAGGTCATCGTCCCTAAGATGCGAAAATCATGTGAATTTAGTTTATTGATACATGGGTTTCATAATTTAGAAAAGCTAAAAAACCTACTTTGGGTATGCATTATTTTCAAAGAACTCTGAAAAAGACAATAAATAGAGGGTTTTAGATGGCTTCAAATTTCATTAGCCGTCGTCTGGACGTACCCAATCGATTAAGGTATCATTAGATCTGTCTTGACTGTATGATCATTTTGATATGCTACATATGCATGCATTCAGTATTGTAAACAATTAAGTAGTACAGTAGGTGCAGTCCAATGATACCCCACTCGATCGCGTTCATACTACGACCCATCATAACCTTATCGAAAACATTATTCGTTGACTTACCTTGCAGTACTTTGATCTGAAAATCCGTAAAACGTGTGCGGTTGGCCCTTTTCCCGGATGATGAGGAACTATGGTTTGCACTATTTGGCAGGGGCGGAGTCGTCAGTGGTGTGTCAGACCGTCCACTGCCCGGACTATTAAGACTTACTGGGGATGCTAACGATAAAAGGCTTGAATTAGGAACTTGACTTGGCGTTGCAAAATTGTTCATTTTTGGAGGAGGGAGCATATTTTGCGAAGTTCTGGAGGAATTAGAGTCCTCCTGATTGGGATTGAGTTGCGAGGTAATGAGAGATGTCAAAGTAAGGCTAGGCGAGGAACTAGTACTTGGTTCTTGAGGAACTGACGATGAGTTCTTATGTGCAGATGAGGAGGCATTGTTATTATTAGCCGCTGCAGAGGAGAGTCCGCCAAAAGGTGACCCGCTTCGACCTCCTTTACGAGACATTTTCATGGGCTTTTCGTCCTCATGTCGAGACTCCGTTTCGGATAGTTCGGACTGACTGTCATGATGATGATGGTGGTGATGATGTTGCTGCTGCTGTTGACTATGATGATGATTTAAAAATTTCATGTCCATGGGCTCTAATTGCATCGGGGGAAGTTGTTGTGGTTGGTGAAGAAGATGAGACGATTGGTGTTGTTGGCTGCTCTGTTGAGACGACTTTTTGTGAGACTCCTTTTTATGCGATTGTGAAGGTGGATTGTCCACGTATTGTCTCTGCTCTTCCAAGGGCAGCAGCGATACTTTCGCCTCACCCGTCTTCTCGTACTCCTCTAGGTTGAGGGTGGTGGAAGGGGGGTTCGAGAAGTTGTACGGAGAGTCCTTATTTCGCTGCCTCTCCTATTTTTATGCAAAGTATGTTATGCAGACGTTACAAAATAATGCACACTATATGCAATGCAATTATATGATAAAAGTAGTTGGAAAAACTAACTAACTAATAAGATAATAATGCTTACCTTGAATAGGGTATTCCTGGAACATGTAGAAAATACAAAAGTTATTATCAGGTGATTGCTTAACAAGTTAAAAGCTATTATTATAAATGCTTACCTGAACCAATGCTTAATTACTTTTGGTGGCAGCCCAGATTGGTGCGCCATTTGTTGTATTTGTTCTTCTGATGGAGAGTTATTAATGTCAAAGTGAGCCCTTAAGATCCTTTAAAAAATGTTTAATTAAATTTAGCTTATATTTTTACATTTATTTAGCTTATAAACTGTAAACCTACTTAAGTTGCTCATCGGTAATGCGTGTTCTAAAGAGACAATTAACAAAATTAGCATAAAATTGATAAATAAAGCATGTAAAATTAATGTAGATAAAATGTTGCATTATTTTCTGTACATTACCTAGCTCTTTTTTGGTTAGAGGCAGCAGAGGCTTGTTGTTGTTGCTGCTGCTGTTGCTGTTGCTGTTGTTGCAGAATTTGTTGTTGCTGTTTAGCCATAGCGTTTGAATCTGCTCTGGATGAATAGTTCTGGTTTTGATTCATTTGACTCATGTTCATAGGATCAAATTGAGGGGGCATCATCATAGGAACCAGAGGTGGTTGCAGGTTCATTGCTGCCAGTGCATTCATATTGAGCCCCAGTGGTAAAGCCATCCCCAAACTCGCCATCATCATCGGGTTCAGCATGGGATTAAAATGCTGCAGTTGAGATGCAGCCATAGCACTCAGTGCTGCTTGGACATCATTCATGTGTTGCGCAAGTGACATTGAAACATTGTTGTTGTTATTATTATTGTTATTGTTGGAGGACGAGTGTGCAGGAACCGGTGTTGAGTTATTTCCGCTCACAGAGTCAGCACTACTGGATGCCGGCGTTGTTGAAGAAGTGGGAGTACTTGGTGCCGTACCACCAGGCTGTTGCTCCAAACAAGTTGCATTTATTGGATTTTTGCTTCCACCACTACCTCCGGAATTGGTAATTGTATTAGCAGCAGCAGCAGCAGCAATGGCAACAATGCCATGTTCCTTTGATTGAGGTTCTGGTGAATCTCTCTCTCCAGCCAATTCTGCATCTTCCAATCTCTTGAGGTAATCGCCTCGGAAAGCATCAGCAAAATTTTCAAGTATATCCATTGAGATTTTATTCTTGTGGATTTCCTCGCAATGTGATTTCAGTATCCACACACTCGAAAATGTTTTCTTGCAGTAGGGACAAGTTGCTTTTGCCAGTTCGGGAAACTGGATGGCGATTTGCTCCTCTAATTCTGGCTCTTCCTCATCATTCTCACGTCTCATTCTTTTTTGGTGATACTCATTGAACTGCATTACAACCTCAAACCCGTAGCTCTCCAGCAAGTGCTTAAACATTTGGGAGGACTTTTTGCCTGGCATGCTAAACCTTTGGAAGGTGGTTTCATCACAATTTATTTGTGGGGTTGGTGAAGACGAGGGAGAAGGGGGCTCCATCCCATTGTTTGCGTTTGATGAGTTTGGGGCAGAGTGAGACTCTAGAGCAGACGACGTGTTTGGTGTGGATGAAGAGTTTGGTGACGGAAGTGATGGAAATAGTGACGACAATGAGGTTTGAAACATGCAATAGAGATGTTGATGTTGAAACAATTGCTCAGAAGAGCCGCACGCAAAGTTGCAACGAGAACATGAAAATGCTTGTGGCGATGAGGACGATGCAATTATTGGGGAGACAGAGGTGTTGGGTGGGCTCGTGTTGTTTGGCGTTTGGCTTCGATTGCTACTAGCAGGGCTGGAAGATCGTATTGGGGTGGAAAATGAAACAGGTAGTGTCACTCCCCCATCCCCCGGTCCTTTGGGGCTAAGCAGATCCTGCATGACTTTTTTATGCTGATCGAGCAGCTTTTGTGGTTCTGGTTGCTCAATGAGAGGTTTAGTGAGATCAATTTGTCCAGTCATGGCTAACTCTTGGAGCTTGGAAGCTCTCGTCTGATGGAGCACAGATCGCATGTGAATATCCAATGTTGACCCTTGACCAAGAAATAATAATACATTACTCACAACAATAACGGAAAGGGTATGCCGGTGCATGTGAAATGATGTTTATTTTCATCATTCTGCGGAGGATCACAGGATTACTATTCTAGATGAAAATTTCCCTAAGATTTTGCATGCAAATTACACGCTGGTATTTATCAGAGGGAGTTTGACCCCTATGTAGAACTACTTTCCCTACAGCGATGCTAAAATAAATGAATTTCAACTAACCTTGACTGTAGGTCACTTTGCATATATGACATTTGTAGGGTTTTTTATCATCATCGTCCGAGTTGTTGATTGATGGGCTGGAGCTCACATTCAACGCGGGAGGTGTACAACTGGATGCACTTGATTTTGGTGTGCTCGTTAATAAGTTGGTGGCTGACGGGGGTAAGTTTGCCGTCATCGAGGAAGGAATTTGATCCAATTGTTGTTCTTGCATTAATCGTTTCAACTTGTGGAGGTGGGAAACCGAGTTGTAGTGCACAAGGAGGATGTTTTTCTGAGTAAAGCTCTCCTTACAACACATGCATTTAAATGGTCTGTTTGGATCGAGGAACTTGGCATCATTAATTCCTGCCGAATGTTTCTCTCCCTTTCGATGGAGCAAAGTCTTGTTGTGACTAGTGAGGTAGGACTGCCTCGTGAAAGCCACTTTGCACCTGTGGCATTTATACTTCCTGTTCGGATCATTGTAACTGTCCTCCGCCATGGCTTGCGTATTTAAATATTCCTCAAACAATTGTTGTTCCTTGGTGCCAATGGAGTCATTAGAGTCTCCGTCCCGATCGTCATCATCCATTCCACCGTCATCCCTATCGTCATCTCGATTGTCATCGTCAATATCTTCTTCCCGAGCGCTTTCTTTCTTCAGCAACTCGGTGGTCAATGGGTCCAGAATTTGTCCACTTAATCCTGCGAGAAGCAAGGGGTTATTTGCAAGATTTTGCTTGAACAGGTGAAGTTCCTCCTCGGAGAGTTCAGTGTGAGAAGTCTCGACATGTTTCTGCAGGGCGGTCAGTGACCGCTGAAAGGTTGATCCTGAAAAGAAAAACGAACATAATGGTAGTGGTTGTAGGTTCTGATTACGTGTGCATAACTCAGTAAGAAATCGACCCTCTAAAATATGCATATAAAATAAGAAAACATGGGAATCATGTAGTGAATTTATTCAGAAAAATTTGCTGAGAAAGAATTTTCAGCCCGAGTCAGGGCTTATGGAATCATCATGTCTGTCTGTCCGTCTGTCTGACGATGAACGCTTTGAGCAATTTGGATGACATTTGGGAGAAATATGTATCTCGACAATGCAAGAACCGAATTCAAAGATGGGTTCGTTTAAAAAAATATTTGGACCGGTGGGGGTTAAAAAGGTGGTGGGGTATAATGCACCAAAATTTCAAAATAATCATAGACTGCTGAAATTTGAGCTACTAGTAACTCCTATGCAAATATTGAGTATTTAAAATTTTTAATCCGGTGTGACCCAAAGGGGTGATTATTCAAAGTTGTCAAATGTACTTGAGGTTTGGTATGGTTAGTAGATATGACACGTAAATAGCAAATGTGAAGTTTGCATACTTAAATGTTTTTTTGTCTAACCTCCTCCGGTCGTGGAAATTGGTAGTACCTATTTGATTTTTTTAAATTTGATGGAAATTAGACAGACTGGCTCATAAAATATCACACACCTGACTCGGGCTAAATTAGGCTGCACTGGAGGTTTTAAGGTTAGTAAAGTAATAATTTATAGTTAAACTCTCCAAAAAATGAAATATTAAAATTTTACATACATAATATTTTTGTGCATACACACTTTGTGCATGCATTTTTTATTTCCAGAAATGTTCTTATGTATTAGTGAAACGGAGTGAGGCTACGAGATAGTGAGACAGCGCAGTCATAGAGCAAGGCCAGCTGCCGCTGTTTACGGGCAGTTCAACTTTAAGAAGGATAGTGTATTATTCAGCCATGTCGTTTTTAGCTCGCAATTGACTCGGCTTCACAAAGTGCGTATGATTTTATTATCGCTGAAATACTACAGAAAGACATCTGTAAAATTAAACAATTAGATTAATTTCCTAAGGGGGGTTCTCCATTCTTCCATCATCAATCAGGAATCTCCATTGGGGTAAGTAAACTAGTTTTTTTTCATTTTTCATTTTTCTTGAATTATCAAACTCTCCAAGGCTCATTTGTATTAAAAATCGATATTTACAAAACAATTCAGTTCATCTTTTCTAGAGAGAGAAAGCTTTGATGGATTTATTATTAAATATAAATATTAATTATCCATACTTATCTATCCAAAATATGTGTAAAATTTCACTTCTTTCTTTAAACATGTAAAGCTACGCTGCTTAACTAGCTTCTGTTGTTACTTATGCGTCTGATGATGTAGATTCGCTACTACCCATCTCTTCTGACAATTTATTTTGAACATTTGATTGAAGTTGATCGTTTTGAGATTCTTGGTGTGCAGGTTTCTGAGCATTGTACCTCGAATTTAAAAATTGACGAAGATGTATCAATTTGTGCAGATTCACATCGTCAGATCGACTTAAATAAGGGAAACTTCCTCCGGTTTTAAAATGTGCCAAGTTAGCATAACCATAGTAAGATCGCAAACTTGCCCGTGCTTGCATGGAGAGTGCAGATTCATCAAAAACGTCAATTATAGTCATAGGCATATTTTTTAATTTGAATGGGTCAACATGGCAGTTAACACAATTTAAGGTCAATCTTGCTCCAATTCTTGCTGAGTTAAGGTATCCAGCCGTTCAATTCAATGAATTCCATGGACTGAGCCTCTTAGTTCAGTGACGGATTCTGACCTAATATTCCCCATAACTAATTTCTTCAAAACTCGAATGCCACGGACTGTCAAATAGAGCATTTGTTTGTAAAAGATATCCGCCGTCCCTGAGACCAGTACCAAACAGACCAATCCACTGGCCACAGAACGCGGTCCAGCGTCGTATAATTTCCAGGTCTTGCTAGCATTAGTGTCTACAGCAAGTTTTTTTAACGGGTACAGTGGCTCTGAAACTCTGGTATTCCTCAGAGTTGGACAAATCACTAGAGAAATTCATTTTCGCATTAGATATACCTCAGAACTTTCTTGATCCATGTGATTGCATCAAAAAACGCCAGTGAAACTCCACTTATCTTTCCTTATCTTTTCTTATATATATATATATATATATATCAAGAAATGTGGAAATAAATTTGACATTTAATTAGATATTAATTATTTTTGCAGATGACCACTGCGCCAAAAATCCAGGTCAGGAAAAAAACGCCTGCTACTCGGTACTCCACCGATCCACATGACGAAAACAGACCGTTTTGGTGCGATTGGATTTCTGATGAAGACGGAGAAATATGCGGGTTGACGTTTAAGGTACAATCAACTTTGAGGAGTCATGTATCAAGGCAACATCTAGGAACCAAAGAAAAGTAAGCATGTTACCTATTTCAATTCAAAACTAATGTATAATACATTTCCTCGCAAATTAGAATGTTTAGGAATGTTCCGAAAAAAACTTTTGACATTTTTCCCTGTTTTTATGAATTTGGAATCGGCATCCAAATGAACTATACCTGTCGAATTTCCTGATATATTTTATTAACATTTTTCCAACATCAGTTGGAAAGTAAAAGATTGGCATCATTGTGTTACCATTTATAATCCGAAGGATGTTTAATAGAAATATATTTCATCTGATGGTCCACAATATTAATTTGCTTATCTGCTCCACAGAAGGGACAACCAATATCTGATTGGAATTCGGCTTGGTAGGACAAGAAGTCTAAAAACCTGCCAATCCAATTTTATTGGATCGTTCGCCAAGGCGCACACCGAGGAATTGCCTTCAATGGATTGGAATAATCGGCATCTTCATATCCAGGAACCTTTGGAGATTGAAGCCCTTGACGTATTTCGAAAACAGCGGGCTAGATTAGTAAATAAAAGCTACAGATGTGGGCGGTACATCGTGGTAGAAGCTGTAGCTGCTGAAATGGGGATCCTAAACTACTTGGATTATATTCAAGATAAACCTGACAAGGTTTTTTATGAATATTTCTACAGTAGAGACGGGTCGACTCCTTGTTCTATTGTCACTGATCCTGACAAAGCCATTCACTCATCTGTAGCCCAATTGTGTGCTGAGACCGATGAAGATGGAAAGCCACGATATGTTTGCTATGACCAGAAGCTGGCGGTAATAGATAGCAACTTGTGTTTGACCTAATCGGCTAATTCTAATTATTGTATTTTAGGAATTTGTTTTCTCTTCTGGTCACTCTGATGAAAATCGGAAGGCGGCTTGTCGGAGGGAAGCATTTGAAACGGTAGATCATAAAAAAGTAACTGTGCTATTCCCATATTTGATTTAATTTTAAGTTTATATGTTATATAGATGGTGGCTCAGGGAAGTCGAATGACGGAGTTAAACCAAAATAAGTGCCAGTGTGTGAAACTGAATATCCATACAGAAATCATTGAAGGAATTAAAGGTGGTTTAGCAGAACAAGAAGCATCATTAGGATTTCAATACGGCCGTGCCAAATTACCGTTGTTTTGCTTGGAAAACTGGAAAACTAACAAACCTTGCAAACAAAATCATAATCCGGACAACCTTGTATTCTTTCCAACACATCATCCGAATATAGCTGATTTCGTAAAAGTAGTTCCGGTCAAGCCATCGGAATTAAAAAAGGTAGACATTTCTTCCCTTTAAGTACCTGAAGTCAATAATTACTTAGCCTTTTTGTTCTACATTATAGTGGAGCATTAATATTGAGCAAAATTCAGTTGGGAAATGGGTAACGTCCAAGCCGGAAAAAGCAGTTTTGAATATAAAACTGGACACTCCTCGCGCAGGATCAATTTCATACAACAGACCTTTTCCAAGAAAGAAAACAGGTTTGTTATCCTATCCCATGATGATTTTGTCAGCTGTGCAGGAGCTTAATGAAGCCAGCGGATCCACCATTGCTGCTATTCAGGATTTCGTGAATGGACGTTATAGCGTGGATTCCAATAGTGGTAGCTTGAGGAAAAGCATTAAGCGAGTACTAGATGATAAACATTTAACGTTATGCCGGGGATCGATGACAAACAAGGCTTACAGATTGGGCCCTGTTACATATGCCGTTCCGCTCAAAGGAGGGGCTCGCCTTGCCGAGAAACTTGGTAGGACACCAAAACGACCAAGAAAACCACCTGCTGCATCGTTACCAAAAAATAATAAAACCAAATCAAGCGCTGGTCCACTACTTAGCCATGGAAGTAGAAATTCTACAGTCGATGACGATTCTACCACGGATAAGGAAACTATACTAAGCTCTCCTGACAAAACATCAAATACAAAGATTTTAAGTTATTATGATAACTGTATCCGTCAATCCGATTTGATGTCACTACAGGATGAGAATTGGCTTAGCGACGTCATAATTGGTTAGTAAAATCTGCTCTTGAAGAAGGCGTATTTCAACCTTTACATTAATTAAAATTTGTTTCTTAGATTTTTACTTCCAATATTTGACATATTCGTGCCTGCCTGCTAAGGTAAATTCTGTTGACGGACCGCGGCACATTTGTCAATTTGTCGGGCCTTCTATTACACAGTTAATGAAATTGACTTCAGCAAATACACTTTCGGAATCGTTGAGAAATGTAACATCCTTTTATTAATTATGAATTTAATTGATTTTGATTTTAATTATGATTTTAACTGATTTTTTGATTTTTAATGTTCATTTCAATATTTTCTCATAGGTTTTTGATGGGATGCTTTTGAATGAATTCACATTTTTTGCCCTGAATGACTCTGATAGTTCGACTAACAACTTCAGTGGAAGTCATTGGTCATTGCTTATTTATTCCAAAGTATGAACCCAATTTACAACATATATTGACACGGAGTATTACAAAATCTACTTCTTATTTTAGGTTGATCAGGCATTCATTCACTTCGACTCTTCCCGATCCGGAATAAATAATGTTGCTGCAGAAGTTCTTGCAGCTCGAGTTGAACATTTTACGTGGGGCGCAAATGTCATCCACAACAAGTATTGCCGACTACAAGTAAATGGATTCGACTGCGGGTGTCATGTTTTGTGCAATGCTGAACTGATTATGGAATACGTATCCAGAAACCCTGGTGGATCAATTGCCGGAGAAACGTGTCCAACTTCATCCTCTGCACAGTCAGCATTGATGCGATCAAAATTAACTGATGTGATTAACAAGTTGAAATTAGATGTTTAGGTTATTTCGTTCTTATGTCGGCGACGTTAGATTCATATTTGTAGCTAAAATTTAATAGCTCTTTTTTTAATTCTTGTCATTTAATGTGTTGGTAGGCCCAAATCTTTTCTCTCTCCCTTTCTCTCTCTGGAGGCAAGCGCCCAAATCTTTTCTCTCTCCCTTTCTCTCTCTAGAGGCAAGCGCCCAAATCTTTTCTATTCCCTTTTCTCTCTCTGGAGGAAAGCGCCAAAATCTTTTACCTATTTCTTAACTTCATTGGTATACAAAAAAAATAAAACACAAACCTTGTTTATATATTTATTTAGATAACAAACAGCACCTGCATTAAATAAATACATGACCCAATTCCACTTCGCTTTTATTGGAAAAATGTAAATATATCTACTTGTAACTCCAGTTAGCTACAGTAAATAACTAACCATCGGTCACCTCATAAAATTCGCTCCTCCATCATTTGTACTCTTACTAGATTACAATGTCAACGAGATGTGTAAATGATCCCTCCTCGCTGGAGGAAAGAACAAATGCATGTACACATAGTGGAAAATGGGAATGAATATAATTTGAATATTGCGAAGAGAGGGGCTTTCCAAATACAAGTATAGCAACCAGTGGGAGCACCTTGTCAAGTTCATGTAGCATTATAACACAGTCCCATTTATTTATTCGTGTTTATTTTTTTGACTTATATGGTTTTGAACCAATATTCGACGTGAATTGCATAGATCTGTTCACTATTCCCCCATTGTTTTTATTATTTTCCTGCTTTGTTCATTCACTACTTATTTGGTTCTGAAAACATCAATAAAATGCAGGAGGGAAGGCACTTGGTTACTGCTTTGTTAATCTTACTTCATTTCCATCCTTCTTTTTCCAATATGCGTAGCAATCTCGCATCTGCAGCCGGTATAAATAACAGTGTAAGCTTGTAGGTTGTAAAAAAATATCTGATGATTTATGCCACTTTCACTGATCCACAAGGTGCCACAAGAGAATTGTCAAGGAATTTAACCACCCACTTTCATTTCAATTTACTCAGTAATTAGTATATGTCGGACTTTGGTGCAAATTCATAAGCAATTCATAAGCATATATTTTTTAGCCTTGCTGTGAGTACACATTCATCTGTGCTTCTACACTTTTAGTGAGCTAGCAAGACAAATTTAAAGCCTTTGCTCGGTCATATATAAGCATCAAACTGACATTACGTTCGATCCATGCAAACTTGCTATTACCATGTATCCATGAATTGTTTAATCTTATTTTCTTCGTCGATTGCTCTTAACCTCCTTAATACCACATGAAAGACTTGAACATTCCGTTGTCTACCAATTTTATTTCGAGCAGGGTCTGAAAACTTTATTGCTATATTCACCAAGGACTCTATAAGCCCATACGGACACCTTAACACAATGAATGGGTCGATTTACATACAATTAGAAGACGGTTTTATGGCAGGCCATAAGATCCACATTCACTTAGATGAGCATGGGTCGTTAAGATATATTGATCCAGCGACAAAACGGTGGCAATTTTTCAATATGACTGGTGAAATAAAATCATTTATCGGAAGACAAAATCACAGCGACATAGTTCATGGTTCGTGCAATACCAATTATATTAAACTAGGGGGAAATTCTTCTCTAGAAGATGAGGTATGGTATAGCTCTGATCTGTGCTGTATAGGATCTGATTTTAATTTGCTTCTTTCTGAAAATGTTCTAATTAATAATCAGGCAGTATGTGGATCGTTTGTGTATGAAATACTTCATACCGAGAATAGTGGCATGATAAGCATATCGTCAGTAAGTTCATCTGCATCTCATAAAATTATTTTTCACTACAATATCACTAATGTAGTTGATTTTTCTACTTTTTTCCCCATTTACTTTCATGCACCATGGAAGTATATGTGGAAGAGGTAGTATGTTATCACGGCAACCAATGTTAATTTGAGAGGGCTCGTGTGGGTCCGTCTTAAGAGATAGAGCAATTCGGTTAAAGGCATTATGACCATCTCTAAAATCGAGGGATAGGGTACGCATGCCGTTTTTCAAAATTTCTAAAACTTTTTGAAATATCCACGTTTACATGCAATAATTTCTGTGCCGTGATCTCAACGCAAAATATTTTTTCAAATGATCTGAGTGACAGATAGACAAAAACCATTGATGGAGTCAAATGCAGAGATAGTTGGGCTACAACAAACGTTTGAAACTTTTTTTGAAATAAAGCATCCCCAAGGCGGGAAAATTCAAAATGTCATATTTGAGGGCGCTCCATTCTCGCTGGAGAAAATTTTTCACAGAATCGATTTCTTGAGTCATTCTCACTGGAATCATATTCCTGAGGATAATGTGCAGTGCCCTCAAGATAACCATGTTTTCGAAATTCGCCTTCTTTGAAAAGTTATCGCTGGTTTTCTGAAAATTTAGATTCCTTTAAATAAAACACATTCTGAATATCTCAGTATACCCCCAGTTGGTGGGAACCATTGCAAATATTAACTTATCATATTCGCAGATCATTTGGCTATAGCCAAATATTGTATACATTATTTTCTTGAAACAATGCTTCTCAAGAGCATGAAAATTCAAAATTTTGTGTCATTTCATTCTCACTGAGACAACATACCACGAATTTGATTTTTTTGACAGGATCTCATCTGAATCGTATTCCTGAGATGTAGGGGGTGTGCCCTCATTAGGACCTGTTTTTCGAAATAAGGCTTCTTTGAGGCGCTACATTGAAATTTTCAAAAAGTTGTATTCATTTTCTCCACAAGCTTAAAGTTAATATTGTTGAATTTTCCCAACTAGATTTGAATAGAATCAGATATGACAATCTTCAAGTTAGATTAACACATTTTTCGACATCAACCTTGGACTACGAACATCTTGCGATTTTTAAAATTCGCGCTCATAGATTGTGAATTAATACGTTAGGTATTGGAAAAAGTAGATCCTTTTCCGCGGTTTTACCGCATAACTTGTATGACTGTGGATCCCCAACAGGTTGTACTTGTTTTGTTATCTCATGATGTTTCCTATGAACGGAGACCTCGTGAGCTTTACGAGGTTGACAAATTGACTGTAGTTGTTAAATTTGACGAAACAATTAATTTACACTTTCAGAATGGTGGCATTATATTTAAGGATAGTATTTCTCAAGCCTGGGAAGCTATCCTTAATATTAGGGAAAAATCACTGACAAGAATGACACCAATTTTCCAAAAATTGTCGGATCGATTAGGATCTGTAAATTTTAACATCATTAACATGCATAACGAGTCGATGAGATTCGTAAAATCATTTAATGAGGTGGTACAATACCCACAAAATGCTCAGCATGTGAGTATTGTCAATGAACAAGTTTTGCTAAGCATATCATTGCACCCGATCAATCAAACTGCATTAAAACAAATGGACGTTTATCAACAACACGGTAATAAAATTCATATGGATATTGACATTTCCAGGATTGTGGAACATTCAGGTCTTCCTAACGTTTCATACATTCAAGAGATGCATTGCATCACATTCTCGTGGAATGGGCTCAGCGTTACCTTACATGGTAACGAATCTAACTTTCACGTAATCGAGTTCATTCAAAAACCATCTGTTCGTATTTCGAACAATCTAACGAAAAGTATCGCACCTTTAAGGTTTTACGGTCATGCACCGTTCGATATTATAAGGGAAACCAATCTTAATGGTCATTCTGTCATTATGTATGAAAATGACATAGGAGAGTACACATCCAATACCGAAGGTAACGATGTTATCATTTTAAACAAAAAACAAACTTTCTGGATTCAGTTAAAAGACTATCATACTAGCAAAATCTTACAGAAAATACAACTATGGTTTGGGTCGCAGTTAATTAAAATATAACTATTACAAACCTTGAAGTAAGATCTTACTCCATAATCAATGTACCCTTATTTAGTTTCATATGATGTAATTAATATGATGTGACCAGTTTTGCCAGTAAGTATTTTAAATGTCTATTTTTCGAATAGTACAAACTTATCAAATGAGCAATGTAAAAAGTATTCGTCTTGATTTTTAGACGCACCATGGGTCACGGACACAAGCATGACGTTAAACTAGGTGGACAGGAGAAAGTAGGAGATGGGACAAATGTTGTGCATGTGGAGCGTGAGGACTCTCATGCTCCAGTAACAACACCTTCAATATGTTACGGTTGCTTAACAACTGAAGGGCAAACCATCCACCTTCAAGAAAACGTCATCCCACCAGTTGTCATTCATTGGCAATATTGTAGACAGGTGAGTGGTGCACATGTGAGCACAAACCGTTAACATCTAAACTGTGTATAATGACTCGGATATCAACAAAATGCTTGAAACTATCTCCAATCTGTTTACCTCAGAATATAACAAAACCAGTATATTTTAAAACGGAAATGACTGTACATAATTAGGTTACATAAATACTTATATTGCTAGAATTACGATTTCACCATTCTAAAGGCTAAAACTGTACGAAGTTGTCTTCGTTGTTAGTTTCATTTTAAAACAAAAACTTGAGATTTATAGTTTATTTAAATATTTATGTCAAATGAATTTCCTGAATGACAAATGCGAGATACAAGGATTCCTTGTTTATTAGTTCAATTACGTTCTGTTTTGTAACCCTAATTTATACCTACAATTTTAGTTTAATAACGATTGAATAACACAAGAATTAATCCATTATTTTTGAAAAATTGTTTCATGAAATGATATAAATAAATCCATAAAGACAAAATAAAAATATTAAAACTAAACCTAATCCATGAGGTGCTCAAGATGTATACATTAGGTTCCTATTTTATTCAGATAGAATGCTATTAAAGTTAGATGAAGAAACAGTGGTGCATATTGTTGAAAAACCACTTTGAAGTAGCACAAGGTTATAGATAACAACGTAATCTCACCTGGCTCTTTACTACTCCCTTTGAAGGACCTGCCGCACAGAGGGCATTTGGTAGCGTCCCTTATTGCATGGTACTGAGAGTGCAGTTGGAGTTTCTCACTGGTCTTGAAAGCCAGGGAGCACTCGTGACAGCGATATTTGTACACGTGTTTTTCTGAAACGGCCATCATGGCTGGTTTCCCTCGAGTATGAATCTCCCGGAAGTGCATCTGAAGAGACTTTACGTTTGGAAAGTATTGATTGCAAGTCTTTTTCCAGCAAAGGTAGCCTGGTCCGCCCGGAGTTTGTTTGATTTCCAAGTGCCCCAACTCATTTTGATGGCAGCACAACTCATCCAAAGTACGGAAGCATTTAGAGCACGTATGACACCGAAATTCGTCCCCATCAGCAGCATCATCCATTGCACTTTCACCATCCGACTTGTCTTTATCATCATCGTTAGAATCACTTCTCATGTCTGAGTTTGAGCTCACATTATTATTTGCAGAGGAATGAGAGGTATTGTTCAGCCAATGAGACTGGTTGACCAAAAGAAGGAGTCGTTGCAGTCCTTCCACATTAACACTGTGCACTTTCATCACGTGGGCTTCCAGAGAGGTTCGATCTGGACACATATCCTGGCACAAGGGACAACTCATGACATCAGAATTTACCTCGGACTTGACGTCCGGCGAGATTGAGTTGCGACGAAGGGCAGATGCTGATGACGAGTGGTCGCGCAGTCTTTCACGTTCTCGCGAAGTGCTACCACCTCCAGATGACGAGAGTTCAGAGTTGGAGTGTTGGGTCAAAATGTGAGCTTGCAGTCGGTTTTCGGATTCGGATGTGAAGGTGCAAAAGGGGCAAATGAGATCATTCACGTCCGAGGAATCCTTTTCCAACGCATTCTTTAACACGCTGTTGTTGTCTTCGCGCTGTGACTCTTTCATGTCTGTAAATGTGCACAAGAGTGGAGTAAGTATTTACTAATTATGTCTGATCACTTCAAGCTCAAGCTGTTTTCAGATATAGAGCACCTACTAATAATAATTACTGTTTTGCTTATATAACCGCTCCCTCTCATAAGGGAACCTTAAGTGCTGTCCCATCTCGATTTCCCTTCGGATAGTCTTAACTGATAGATAATTTAGTGCATTTTAAAGTTTGTCATAGAACATACGGTACAAAATCAGGTTTTCAGGAAATATTTGGCGAGAGCGGCATCGAAACGTGCAATTTTTCCAATGCTTTTAACATAGATTACAGCCTTTGGAATGATGAAATGAAGTTTATAAATTATATACCCGTCTATAATTTCATGCTGATCACCAATATGCAAAAAAACGATCCAAACACTTGGCATTTTATTCAAATTGCGAAAATCTGGAAAATTTTCTGAATTTGAATTTCGTCGTTTTTTGGAATTTCAACATAATTTAAATTTCCAGCTTCTTTTAAGCATTACAAAAAAGTTTTCAAGAACTAATTTTTCCTTACTGCAACACAATGGGCGAAAATTTTCAAAAATTGAAATTCACCATTTTTCATGAAAAAGATAACACGACCAATGCTAGTCTATTTAACGTATTCTTCAAAATTGCTGGCTATATTTATTTTTGCAATTTGTAAAAAATTCTGGAAATTTGTAACGTCGGTTTTTAACTTATTTAACAAAATAACTTTTCCATACATCGTTGGAGATTATAACCTTTTTAGAAAACTGGAAAAATTTTTATCTGGGAGGGACCCCATAGGGTCCCTCCACTATGGCATTTTTTTAGGACGGCAAAAATATACGGCGCCGTCTATTTTTGCCGTCCTATAAAAATGCCATAGTGGAGGGACCCTATGGGGTCCCTCCCAGATAAAAATTTTTCCAGTTTTCTAAAAAGCTTATAATCTCCAACGATGTATGGAAAAGTTATTTTGTTAAATAAGTTAAAAACCGACGTTACAAATTTCCAGAATTTTTTACAACTTGCAAAAATAAATATAGCCAGCAATTTTGAAGAATACGTTAAATAGACTAGCATTGGTCGTGTTATCTTTTTCATGAAAAATGGTGAATTTCAATTTTTGAAAATTTTCGCCCATTGTGTTGCAGTAAGGAAAAATTAGTTCTTGAAAACTTTTTTGTAATGCTTAAAAGAAGCTGGAAATTTAAATTATGTTGAAATTCCAAAAAACGACGAAATTCAAATTCAGAAAATTTTCCAGATTTTCGCAATTTGAATAAAATGCCAAGTGTTTGGATCGTTTTTTTGCATATTGGTGATCAGCATGAAATTATAGACGGGTATATAATTTATAAACTTCATTTCATCATTCCAAAGGCTGTAATCTATGTTAAAAGCATTGGAAAAATTGCACGTTTCGATGCCGCTCTCGCCAAATATTTCCTGAAAACCTGATTTTGTACCGTATGTTCTATGACAAACTTTAAAATGCACTAAATTATCTATCAGTTAAGACTATCCGAAGGGAAATCGAGATGGGACAGCACTTAAGGTTCCCTTGTCGGTCATAGTATAAAATATCAAATGAATGATAAACGACATAATTAACGAGCCCGTGAAGAAATTTTTCAGGTGGTGGTAATTAAAATAAATAATGAACCTCTCCTCGATGAGTATGAATGTACATGCACGCAACACTTTCGTACATATGTACCTATGTACATATACATATACTCGGGTCGACTGGTTACATGGTTGTTGAACGGAACATTGAAGGCACTAATTTGTACCCCAATAAAAATGAAACCGATGCGATGCACAGAAAAGATGAGAGAATGTAGATGGATGGATGGAAGGCTAGCAAACAGATTCGTTAATTAAAGGCATTAATTACTCTTACTATTCGGCCGCCTAATAAAACTTGTTCCCACGAATTACTCATCATTTACAGAACACGCCATCCAGGTCATTCCAACCTGCCTGTAGTTATTCACTTCAAAATATAATCATAATCATTCCACTACATATTTATGCAACTGCATTACATGGACCAAAACTAATAAGAAGGTGCTCCTTGTCTTTGTAAACGATGAGTGATCATGTTCATATTGTTGTGACTGGACTTGAAAAGTGCACGTCACTTTCTCACTTGAATTAGCATTATCTCCCGTTGTGCGTGGGACCAAGAAGGAAAATGAAGAAACAGCTACATAGATAGGATAAATTAATGCATGCCATGGACCTGGTGGTAATTACAGTTACATATGCGAGCAATAAAATATAGCAAAGATGATGCCTTATGTACATATGTTGCATATGTGTATGGGAATTATGAGACGGGCAAAAACATTTATGCTTTTTAGATTCGGTAAAAATTGTGCTTACCTTGATCGTCATAATAATTTGGTGATACGTCAGCCGAGCCAGAGGAATGATTATTGTGACCAGAAGAGTCGGAATCTGGTGCCTCCAAGACACGGAAGACTTGAGCCAAATCTGGCTGGCCATCCTTCCCTTCAGCTCTCCTTTGCAAACAGTGCAATTGTTCAAGCTGCAAATGCTTCAACGACCTGTCAAATCATTTGCGATAGTTATTACATATTTTTATTTGCATCACGTTTCTTCAGTTAATAATTACGGATTATATGTAAATTCGCACCTTGTGTGTTGCAGAAGTTGTAGCTTGACTCGAGTTGTGAATCCACAGAGAGCACAAGCGTAAATTCTAGCATCGTCATTGATACTCACTTCCACGGACTGAATATGACGGAAAATCAAGACTGATATTTCATGACGCTGGTGAGTCGAGTGGACGCTGACTTTATTAAACGAGTTTGAATAAAAGTCGCACGTATTGCATCGAAGCTGTACTGGATTCGACATGCTCAAGTATTTTAGCTTCCATTCGTTTCGAACTCCCCCTTCCTTGACGTGGTTCACGTGTTGAAGTCGTTGAATATGCTTATCTGTCTTGCAATGTAGTTGAAAGTTGGCTTTGAGATTTGACTGCAAATATATTTGTTATTTTGAAGTATTATTTGCAGGTATTGTCATTGGACAAGTTAGTGGTGTAAAGTTTTACCTGGTAGTTGCATAGCCGACAGCGATAATTCCCTGCCACTAAGACTAAGACTTCTTGTTCTCCAAACTTTGTCCTGTCCTGAGAGAGATGGTGAGAAAGGGATTCTAAACTGTCGGTGGAATACACGGAGCAAACACAGCACTGGAAAATGTGTAACGGATTCGGATCTGGGGGATCAGGGGGTGGTTCCATGGTGTCTGAATAGGAAATTCATACATATGTAAGCACCATACTATGCAGTACTATGCACGTGCGATTTGGTTAATCGACAAACATGTAAATCATTGCTAACCTGGGTTAAGCCCGAGATCCATGTGGGGGGCAAGTTCGGGTGGAATGTGAGGAGGCATCTGACCACCCGTCATCATTTGGATAAGTAAGGCTTGATTGTAAGCCATGTCTGCTAGAGCAGCTTCCGCATGAGGTGTTGACTTATCTCCGCCGGATCCACCCATTTGTAGCTGTGGGTGAAACTGAAGCAAGCTCGCAGGGTCAAAGGGGTTCTGCGCCTGCTGAAGGGCACTCAGATGCTGCATATGCTTCACGTTTTGTTGCAATACCATCATGTTATGAGTGTGCTAAAGAGAAAGTCAAGCCTTATACTATGAACGTGCGTACGTATGTAAATGCAAAATTTTTTGCGGGTGTGACACTAACCTTCTCTGATGTCATATGAATTCGGAGGTTTCGAGCTACATCTGAAAATCGGGCTCAAAGGTTAGAGGTCAAATCATCCTGCCTTTGCGCAATAGTGATATGAGAACTCTTACTTGTTTCATAGTTGCATACGTCACAACGGAATGTGGGTTTCGGTTTCGGATTTGTAGACGATGGTGGGGCTGAATTATTTGACGCTGCAGAAGGGCTCATCCCTGACATATTTTTGTGAGAATGAGGATGATGAGGATGTGAGGGCACAGTCGTCTGCTGAACTAATGACTCTGGTGGCGGAACACCCCCGTTTTGTAGTTCTTGCATGTTATCTACAAATAAATAAAATTAAGCTTTAAAAATGTCTTTAACTCAGTATTAAATGCAATTTTATATGTAAAAAAGGGCTCAACTGAGATGTTTATCTGATTGCATGTGGATACTACACTCCCCAAAGAAGACAAAATTAAGTTATTAATTAATTCAAGGCGTTAAAACTGTAAAGAGAAATATTACGCAGAATTGTGCACGAATTTTTACCTCAGGTTGCCTTTGGTAGTTGTTGAATAATTGCAAACTTCACACCTGTACGGCTTATAACCACAAGTATATGTTTCTCCTCTTGCAAGTCTTGGATGAGCCTGACCAGCAACACAATAAATGCAAGAGGTCTCAGTTTCTGGATGTTTTTCCTGAAATAATCATATGTATCGTAAGCTAAAGTTTGAACAAGAAGAGTGGACTTTTTTTACACAAATTTAATACCTTAAGATGTATGGATAGTGTTTCCTGAAAATGCAAAAAAAATATTATCTTGTGCTCTGCTCCGCATAACCGTTTTAATTTATAACCTATTTCAATCACTGACCTCATATTTATAGTGCCAATTACACCTTGGGCATAAAGAAATAGTTTGAGTTAGTAATTTGCATTTTTATAATTAATTATTATTGGGATTTAAAGATTTGTAACGAAGGATATTAATAAAGCCGTCTTGAGGGTTGGATCGTTTTGGTATGCATAAAGGGTTGTGTACGATAAAAATTTTATCATAAAATACAGTTGAGATATTTCTCAACAACGAGAATATTTGTAGGTATCCAGGTTTAGTATTGGTAAATTCTAGCATACTCAAATTATCCTACAGTCAAGACAGACCCATTATTAATGTCCCCAGAATTTAGTCTCACTTTGGGCATTTCAACGTTTTACAGGAATTCCTTGTATGCAGATTTCCTAATGCTCCCATTCTGGAAGAGTTGAGAATCATTTCGCATTTAGAGCAGTCTGCGCCACTTGGTCTCCCATTCAAATGCTCCGGACAGACGCCGATGGTGGTGCCGGTAATGAAGTTTGGGGGGCCACCAACAGCATTGCCCATTGACATTTGAGAGCCGGAAGGGCTCAGGTTGTTGTTGAGAATGGAAGCAGAGTTTGGCGTGGAACTGGGCGCAGGACTAGCACTACTTCTACCACTGGCAGGACTCTTCCTGGTGAGATCCATCCCACCCCCGCCCCCACCGGAATTGCTCATCCGGGGGGTTGGAGGTGAAGAAAGTAGGTGATCAGGAGAGTTGATGGGGGAGGACTTAATGTTGTCATCAGAGTGGTTCGTGGAATTGGATCGGAACAAGAGTGACTGAGAAGTTGTCGTCGCTGAGCATGAACTTTGCTGCTGCGACGACGGGTGAAGTGCACGGCTTTGAATAGGAACTGACTGAATGATATTGTTGACACCTGCTGCTGATGCTGCTGGTGCCCCTCGGTTGGTTGTCGTTGGCTCAAGAAATGATATTGTCGGGTCCTTGTTTTTCCCGACGGGCTGGATGATTGCTGACACATTCCTCTGATTGAGAACATCTTTTTCTTGATCGATGAGTATCAAATTGTGATCTCCCATGGCATGAGCGATAAATGACTTGGTGTAACCAAAGGACAGTTTACAAATAAAGCACATGAGAATGGGTTTTACAGGAACAGAGGAACACTCCGAAGAGGAGCAAGTCTTGTTGTTGTCCTTATCACTAGTCCCGTTTATCCTCAAACCACCCTCACTGCTAACGATGCTGGCCCTTTTCTTTCTACTACTGCTGGTGGTGCCATCAATATCATGGTCATCCTCGTCATCCTCGTCCAATACGCTTGTATCACCACTTTTATCACGAATTGTGTAACTGGAGAATAAACAGGATATGCAATTTCAATGTGATGAAAAATGCGTAAAATCGAAATTCAAAATAAAAGCCAGCGTGAAATATAAAATAACGGCCTATGCGTTTTGATTGTGGTGAAAGTCTACTTTCTCCCAAAAATAATGCAGCAAAAACTTATGAGCATAATTTATGCAAAATGACGAGTTAGTAAAAAAGCATGGTTACTTACACCCTGTAGCTGTGCATAATTGGTATTTCAGGAACTATCTTCTTGTCCTGTAGTAGACTTGAGTACGCTTGCCCATACAGAGCGTTGTACAATGCGGGGTTGCGCGATACATAGAATGCATTTGCGATTTGGGGAATGGCTGGGATCTGCGACAAACTCATCCCACGCCCATCAACAATGCAACCTTCTAAATGGGGGACATCCATCAAACTTCCATCGTCTTCGCTTAATTCACTGTCCTCGATTATGTATGCAGACCCATCAGGATTGTAGACTATTTTCCCATCAAATCTCTCCACGTCGGATCCTCCACCAGACTGCGTGTCGACGGGTATCCGCTTGTTGTTGTTATTCATATTGGTGGTACTACTCGTGGTGGTCGTGGGGGTTTGTCGGGGGGACTCTTCACAAGGAGACTTTTGTGTACTGTTATTATTACTAGTTTCATCAGTGGGACCAGTTTCCAGAACCCCACCAGTACCACCACCAGGTAACTCTTTACTGCAAGTCTCAGTCAAGTTGGACCGTGTCGCAGAGGCCGGTGAGTCATCAGCCACCACGGCAGAGGTGCCAGAAGGTGAGGGAGTTTTTCGTACTCCGTCAGCCATGCTCGGCTCTTGTGGAACCATTATATTTGTAGCCGAATCTCCTGTTAGATACTTCCAGTAGTGGATTCCATTGTCCAACTCCCTCCTCGACAAATCTGACGCATGATGGTGTGGCAAGAGGGAGAAGGTGGCTTTACCTTTGGCGTTGTTAGTGTTCCCCAATGAGCGACACGAACTACTAAACGAATTTGACTCTAAAGAGGTTGCTGAGGATAGCTGAGATTCATCGCCCTGTGCTTTTGCAACAAATGCTTCCATGACCAGAGTGACCTAGCCTGAGTGACGCGATTCCAGCAGCAGGGTAGTTGCCATCATCTCCTCCTCGGTCCGTTGTAGCAGATCACTTTTACTTATCCATCTTAGTATTCTTACTTATTAAGGTCTCAGTTTCTGAAAATCACAAGTAAAAAAACTACGTTAGATAATTCGGTATGAAATTGTAATCACCAATCTGCTTGATTTATGGGCTCATTTTTTATTTTATACACTACATCCATCCATCCATCCACGCGTCGCAGGAGAACACTATTCCATGAAACAGTGAACCTTTTTTCATTTTAAAAGAGATGTAAAAAGCAAATAAACCCCATGATGGGATTCGCATAAATCCAATCTATGTATGTCGCAATCTATGTATCTGTAACGGCTTCACAATTTCCAAATCCCAACCCATGTTTAAAAATCATTTAATTTTAAACCCAATCCATGACATTTTTACCCTTCTCACTCATATATCTATAGCCAATAGAAGACCATGGAATATAAATATATCAGGGCTCTTTTTTTACAAAAGCACCCAAATGTTGGGTTTGATTTCATTATCTTTACGACGGCCATTTAATTGAAAGATATATGTATGCCAACTACTTTCCCAACTACCGAAAAGAGCAAGTGCCACCGATTTTTTTACTGATAGCAAAACCCACGTCGTCATGTGCTTTGTTCCGCAACGATCCTACGATCCAAACTATTTCCCAACTGCTGCCCCTTCCAATAATGTATCACCCTCGTCCGTTCTAATGTTCGTCGCCGTCTCCACAAATTAAAAAAAGGACAAAAGTCGACCAACTTGCTATTCCTTTATTTATTTGGACGCATAAAAAACTAAATGCACAAGAAACGTAAAATAATATTAATAATTGTCCCTATGCACACACACCCAGCTTCTCATGTATAATGTCATTGCGCGTAAAATCCCAATTTGGGTTCACATAAATGACTTTTTCGTCTGTTAAAAGTTCCAATTTGTTGGATAGTTCCGATTCATCGATTATTTATTTCAGCCTCGCTTGATGGGAAAGTGAATACATGGAAGAATTCATTCAATCAAGTAATTTCCAGATCAATTTTATTATGCACTCTGAATTGATCTAAATTGATACGAGGATGCATAAAATCAATAGTATGCAGACATCCTAAGCAATCAACTTTCAATCATGAGTTAATTTTCAAACAACTGTATTTCAAAAAAATTGCAAGGAAATTGTATTTAAATCTATCAAGAAATAATGTATATTATACGAGTGATTGAAACTGATTGGCCTAAAATACATACAAACTCAACTATTGGAGGGAATTTTTATTGAAATTCATGTGAAACAAAAGCATTTTACCCTGGAATAATAATAAGCCAATAATTATGTAATCCTATACCGACTCAATTTTTTTCATTCTGCAAGTTTATTATTACAGAATTTACCCTCCAAAACATTTATCATCAAGCGGCATCAAACTATTGGTCGTGAAAGTAGGAAAATAGGAAAAATCGAGAAATTTGCAATCCAATCGTCCATTTCATTACTATGTATCTATATGTATGTACATACATATATGCAATCTATGTGTACACAAATTATATTCCCCGACCAACTACAAAATCCATACTGGATCCAGTTGTATAATTATTATTGAGCAATAATCCAACCATAGTCAACTCTAAACTTATCGTTAGATGGGTTGGCAAAAGTGTTCATTAAATAAATAAAAAGTTTTACGAAACAACTTTGTCAGAGCCTGCCTAGCATACTGCATATTTATGTGTGTTGGAAAAACAACACGAACAACATGAGTTTTCTTTCCCCTTGTCGACAAAACCAGGATCGAGAGCATTTTAGAGCTCATTCACACAAACAACTACATACAAAGAAATATTAGCTTTGTCTGGCTTTACATGGGTTATATATACGCTGAAGCTCAATGTTCGTCGCCACCACCAACAACAAAACAAATCACTATGATGAGGTAAAATACTCCTCTCTAATTTAGATCAGCAGCCTACGTGGCATCTTTGCAATTCGCCTTAATTTGTCAGTATCAAAAATTTTTAATGCTTTTAAATCACTCAAGCACAATGGATCTCTCTCATGAAAAGGATTTACAAACGGTGTATGCCGAATATCTATCATAAAATGCAAAGATTTTTGCAAAAACAATGATAAGATGAAGGAGGCCAATCCTCAAAATGGCGACATTATTATTAAAAGGAAGGCTTAAGCAGAAAGAGTCGCCATAATTCCTTAAGCCAATCATGTGTTCAGCCTCAATAAAATCTCACCAAAATATTTCATGAAAGGATGAACTTGAGTTGAGACAGACTGAGATTGCTTGCACTGCTACTGCCTACTCTAAATGAGTACATTGGATGAGACTACTGCTGCTATTGTGGATGAGACTAATCTACTGCTATTGGAGAGTTGAACGAGTTTGCAAAGTGCATAAAAAGGCTGTATCCAATTGGAAATCTTTTATCTCCACTAAAACTAATTTGCTCGCTCAAGATTTCCATCGTCATACTTTAGGAAAAATTAGCGTGGCCACGTCAGATGAGCATGAGTTTAGTGAACAAGAAACCAGCCAGCCAGCCACCACCACCTCTACCAGCACGGTCTACAGCAATCCAAAGCAATTATCTGGCATGGTGTGGACGAGTAAAAGGATGTACATTTGAAGGGTAATGAATGTTATAATAAATTTTAAGAGATCCGCGACCAGCATCAGTTGTGGCTGGAGGATAGAATAGTAAAACAGTGACTTTTCGTGTATCAGCCAATCTGTGCTATCTTGTATCTTGTGGTAATACCAACCTGTCTCTATTAGTGAGATGAACTAATGTTGTTATTACATTAAGTCATTACTTTCAATGATGGCACGGTATTGCACCACCACCTCTCCTTATGCATACTATCCTTATACCACATGTAGGTAGCAAACCACCGTGCACAGTGCGGCAAGAATCATTCTATCCTGGCAAAATTTCTTGAAGAAAATTTCCATGATTTTTTTGCATACCTACCCGGATGTTTAAAGGCTCAGGGATCAAGCTAATAATGTTTTTCTAAATCCCCTTAATAGCTATAAATAAAAAAAACTTCACAGTATCAATTCAGTTGCAAATTGAGTGAAGGGAATTTGAATTTTGAAAGTAACAAACGCCAATCAGGGAGAAAGGTTCCTTGTACAAAAAGAATCAAGGGAATTTTGGAAGGAAGGGAGGGAAGTTTCTTTCAGGGAATTTTGGCCGAACCAAACGAATGTGCCACACTGTGCACCGTCTCTCATATTCCAAACCAAATCACTGAATTTAACCAAAGTTACCATCCAACCATTTTTATTCTGATGTCATTGGCCAGAAGAATTAATCACCGGAAGCCGAGTTTTTACAGGAACAAAAAGTGTTCATGAAGGTAGGCTTAATGAGTGTATTTTTTACCATCAATTCTACACTTAATTGCCTTTCACGTCTCCGTTTACTTTACGTCTCCAGACTCGGCTTATTCCTTTACCACCAACCAGCAATTCACCAAAAGAATAAGCCACAGCTCCTGGTTTATTTTCAGATAAAAATAAACACACAGCGTCCAGATGGAAACAATTACGACAATTACCATCAAATATGCTTTGCCTGTGCTTTGGTGACTCTTTAAACATACGTGTGCATTATTTCTTTCAGATAAGATAAAATCCAAGCACATGAAACGACAGTAAAAAAAATACAATTAATCTGCTCCTAAAACTTGAGCACAACAGGTTCAACTTTGAAAGTGAGTAGAGAAAGAGTGAACAAAGAAAGTGGAGAGATATGAAATAAACCTGCTGCTGCTGTTGCTGCTGCTCACAGTGCTGGTTGCATATTGATAGTCTCTGCCCATTGTATTTTGGACCGAACCATGCAAAGTTTTCGAAACAATAAAAGTAAAGCACACACCGGTTGTTAATTTCAATTTGAATGGAAGCATGTCGGCTTCCCAACTCCAAGCCCCGTGGTTGCATATTGTAATTGTAATGTAATTAACGTGCTGAGACTATTCATTCGTGTATGCATGCATAGGATGCCGGCGTTTGTTTGTTAGGATTTTAGAGGAGGGGTCTTGGCTTTTCCACATTAATAACATTTGCAGAAACTATTTAGTCATTCATAGAAGTTTGAATAATAAATTGATCTGGCTCATGATGACGATGATGGTGATGATATCTTTCATCATGAATGCCCTTGTTCGACCCGAACTGCGTGGACACACTTTTGTTCTCTCGTATCATAATACTAACAAAACTGAATCCAATCAAAAGCAACCAACTTTTAGTGAATGGTAGTAAAACAAACGACCACAATATTTCCATACTACAAATGTCGTGTGCATCATTAGTGCGTGTATCTATCTATCTACATGTAAATATACTTCCAAACACAATTCTCTCAACATTCCGCACACACCAGAACTAGGTGTACATATGCACGTTATCCATTGAATTTATGGACCCCACTCAACAGAAGCTTGCCAAAAGACAATGACACATTCGGAGCACTTTGTGACAAATGAACCTCTGCTTTGTTCTCCACTAAATGCTTCTGTTTCGTACTAAAAATGAAAGAACCCTATTCTGTACCCTCCACGATGACTACGATCATGACGACTTGTGCACAACATTTATCCATTTAAATGAAGCATGATTTTTCACTTGTCCAATTCTCGTATGCTTTACATGTCACTTGGGGATACGTAGACATGTATAATTTTGATTATGAAAATGTGATTAGAAATTTTTAAAAATAAAATTGTGCATTTATTAAAACGCATGTCAATAATCTAATAATACATCAAGTTAACCCATTTTGTGTAGCTTAAACGCGTATGCCTGCCTACTAAATGGAAATGAGGTGGACCATTTGAAGCGGATATGAAGGATAATCTTTTTCCAATTTAAATACTGTTTCTATAATTATTTTTTTGGTCATATTAACTCTAGTTGAGCTTATAAAATGAATGATCGTGATCCAAATGTGGCACAAAACTTTGCACATTATTCTTACATACATGTATTTATATTATTGCATGTTTATTGCGCATACACAATGTCCTCTGCTGTCTGTTCATCAATTCAATCAAAGTCAAATTCAACACTCATCTACATACATTCATTTACTTTATAGTTCAGTTTAAAAACTCATAATTACTACTCAGTCTATTAGCACAAGGCAATGCGGCAAAGGACACACATATAACCAACCACGCAGACATGAGCTTAATTTTAATTTGACATGACGCTCATCATCAAACCATTTCGTCACCACCATAGTTTGCCGTCTGCCTGAACCACATACATACATAAAGTGAAAAACTACATGGTAATAAAATATCTGCAAGCCCCAATTGGATCTGTTGTTGTAGCTCTAATTGTGTGGTTTAGCTGAAATGAGAAACAATGATGTACAAAATCTGTTTCGCTTTTAACTAACAAAATATTATTTTAATGCGGACGAGTTAAGCACAGATTTTTTTTTACTTTGTAATGTACGAGTTGCAAATCTGTGTGTGGTATAATTTGACAATGAGTTAGGATTACACCCTCGTTGGTTTACTTGCACAGAAGCTGTCCGTCGTCTCGTCGTCGTCGTCGTCGGTGACGACCACGAGCAAAAAGAAGAAGAAGAGTGATTGAAATAGTGTGTATTACTCGTAAATGAAGGATTAGCTCAACTTCCTTTCATCCAAATGACAACTGTCTAATTAAAAAAGTCTATTAAGTAAATGACACCGACAAAATTATCTCGTCCGTCCATCAACAGACTCATCTTTTAGCATGTGTTGTTCAACTTTGCTTTTAATATCTTGCTCGAAATGACACGCTTCTTCTCTTCTTCTTCACGCTCCTAAGCCCAGCAGATACTTGGAGCAGGATACAACAACTATTGTACATATTGTGCATCCTACATTTGACGTACATGAGGAAAAGATTGTTCATTAACAAGGCTTACAGTGCTTTTTAATACTTATGTACGAGTATGACGACCGAGTTAATATCGCCTTCAAAAAAGATATTTTTAGGACTTGCGTGCTTGTGAAAAATGACTGATTTCAAACTTTTGTTTGATTAATGACTACCAATATCGCTCAAATTAATCTATACTTGAAAATATCACAATTGGATTTCTGTCAATGTGATCCTGTGATATTATTTCCGGAAGCAAACTTATTTATTAGAATTTTATTAGGATAACAACAAAATTCGTCCATATGCACTCAAAGATTTGATATTTTTTAGAACATTTCAGCCTCGAACAGAGATCTTTGCATGATCGATCGATGGAATGAAAGTCCTCACTTCACAGAGAGAAATATAAAGTGTGGGTAGAGTGACACAAGGGGTTAGCAGTTAAGGTAACGAAAGGATCAAAGTATTGCAGAGAAATTGGAGATGAAGTTTTTCAGGAGAATAATCTAGAGAGAAATTTTTTGGGGGGAGAGTGGAGAGGGAGCTGGTAAAAGACTTCATAATAATGATGAGATGGAAGTGTGTGCATTTCCTCGACTGGCTGCGTCGTCGTGTAGTGTGCAAGATTACCCAAGGAACACATCAAATATGCATACGAGGAAACCATGAAGCTCCAGAGTGTTCCAATGAAGTCTCCTTCTTACAAAACCATCATAATAATAATGTGATGCATACGGCAAGTAGTCGGCATGTAACTGACTCAGTCAGTATCCTTATCCCTCTCTCTCTCTCGACGTAGTAAAAAGTACGTAAAAAGGCAAAGTCTTATTTACTTGGAATTTACTTCGAGTAGATCATGTCCCGTGTTTTTACCATTTTACCAACCGAGCGTCAAAGCCAACTTCATTTTTAACTCATAAGAAAAGAACACAAGCAAGTATAACAAGTGAACTCTACTAATATTCGGACTTTTTCACCATTCATGCAACCCTTTTTCTACCGCACCACCACCACTACTACTCGTGCACTTTCAAAAAAAACTTCATCATCGTCATAACAAGTCGCATCCCGACCATCCTTCCTGTGCAATGCCGTATATAATATTTGAGGACGGGCACACTTTTGACTTCACTTTCCCCATCATCTTTTTACTCGCATGTACAAATATAACTCGCCATTAATGTCTTATTCTATAACCCTGCTTCCTGAGTCGTGACCGAGAAAGAAATCCCTCCCAAGCAAAAATACGTGCAATTATTTTCCACGAACGATCCCAATATCACTTTGTATTTTATTTTAAAACTTCATTTCTAATATAAATCTGTGTTGTTTTTTGTTTCATGAATCAACTGAATTGTGGTTTTCAATTTTTTTTTCATGAAAAAAACTCCCCGCCTTTGCATTCAAACAAGTTAAAGGCTCCATTAACAAAAAGCTAACGAATCGTCCTACAACATTAGTTATTACTAATTGTTTTAAGTGGCATTTTTATTGTTGATACATCCATAATTTGGCCTACTCATCGCGGCAATTTCAGCCCAGCAATTAAAGATAATGAGCAGTAATGCGAAATAATGCGAAATAATACGAAATGAGATGGTGGGATGATAAAAATATTAATGAGATAAACCAAAATATAGCAAACGTTATCAAGGCAGAAAATCACACAAGTCTAATTGTACTGCTGACACTAAGACTAATTAATCAACAAATCCATTTCAGCCGTTGCGGCACACATGATTGGGGCAACATGAGATTTCTTGTAGTTTTATAAAAAAAACAAGTCTCATCTTGTTTAGCAAACAATATTAGACTTGCATCCCCTCAAATACATTTCATATTTTCTATCATTTTTTAGCTATCTCTACTTCTTTGACAAGTTATTATATTTTGTTCTAAAAGTTTCGAATCAATTATTTTAAAGTTACTGCGTTTCTTGCTCCGATTTATTTATTTACCTGTGTTGTTGCCAACTTGACTATGGGAGTTGGGGGTTTTTTCGCTCTTTTGGGTCTGCGAAACGACCCCCGTCACATCAGCGAGTTCAAGGGGTGGAGAGTTGGATTGGACGGGACGGGATTTTTTTGCAAAAGTGTTTATAGCGTTGACGCTGCCGCAGCAAATGGTGACCCTACCGACCTCGTGATCTCTGGGATGGAGCTGCTCCTTAAAAAAATGATTCGTTACGGTGTCCGCCCCGTCCTCTTCATCGACGGCGACAATCTCCCTGCCAAGTACGAAACTCAGCAGAAGAGACGCCAAGCAAGGCTCAAGCAGCAGCTGAAATATCATAGGCAACGCAAGGATGATGACGGATGGCTCAGAACAATGGCTCAGTACAAGGTCATCTCGTCCGACTACCGTTCTGTCCTCGTCAAACTGGCGCAGCGCCTGGACATTCCATACCAAGTCAGTCTCTATGAAATGGATTCACAGGGAGTCTACTCCCTCCGCGTGAATGATGTCGACATTATCGCTTCTAGTGACTCTGATTTTGCGGTCTATGGTTGTCGAAATGTAAGTTTTGATTGTGATGCCGCTGCGGCAATAATTAGTGTGTAAAAATATGTAACTTCTCTAATTGTGTATTTATTCTTTTCTGTTGCAGATATTCTTTGACTGTGACGAGCGTGGCTGGGGTTACTTTTTCAACTCGGCGGAGGATATTCCTCTCGCTCTTGGAATTCCCGACGAGGAGTACACACAAGATGTTGTGTTGAAGATGGCACTGCTGAGAGGGAACGATTTTTATGGAGGTGTGCCCGGTATTGGAGTCGTGAAGTGTTTGGAGGTGGTGAAGGCAGCTACTAATACGGATATTGACTCGGTAAGCAAATAATCAGCAGCTGATAATATTTTAATAAAACTCAACTAAATTAGGTTATTTATTGTTGCAGCTACTACAGACAATAAAGGATTTGTACCCTTCCATCTACGCCAACATGAAACCAGATTGCCGAGATCGTCTCATACAGGCAGAACAAACTTTCCGACACGCCACCGTGTATGACGTCACGACGCAGTGTCAAGTCCCACTAACCCCGGTGAAGGACGAAGGAGTGCTGCTGCAGCAAGTTGAAGTTTTCGCTGGTCCCCGTAAAAGTCGTCTCACCGCTACAGCAATTTCAAAAGGACTCATCCATCCTATCACCCACGAGCCAATTTCCGAAATAGGTGACCCGAAGACTGGATTTTGGAGCAGTTCCTACGTACGTCCCAAAGAGACCAAATTTTTTCAGAGGGGAGAAAGGAAGTCAGCTGAAGATTTGGGGTTGGACGATTGTGACGCAGCGCCTAGGAAGAGTCAGAAGCTGAGGCTGGACTGCCATATTTGTGGAAAGATTTCATCAAGTTTCGGAAATCTGAAAAATCACCTCCGAGTTCACTCAGCAAAATTTCCCTTCGTTTGTAGCAGCTGCAAAAAATGTTTCAAACACAAATCCAATCTTAATGCACATTTAGTCGTTCATACCAAAGCCAAGCCATACAAATGTTGTCACTGTAACAAAAGTTTTAGCTGGTGGAACACCTTTCATCAACATCTTCAGCGACACAAAGGAGTGAAGCAGTACCCCTGCAGCATCTGCGACAAATCGTTCATACAGCGCTGTGAACTTGTGGCGCACAACAACACCCACACTGGAGTCCGCCCTTATGTCTGTGACGTAGAAGGATGCGGTAAAAGTTTTGCTACCAGGTCTAACCTCTCGACCCACAAGAAGACTCACTCAGAAGATCGACTCTATAAATGCAGCAACTGCTCCGCTTCTTTCAGACTCAAGCAACATCTCGATTATCACATGATAACCATGCATGGAACAACCGGAGGAGTAAACTGCAGCATCTGCAATCAGAAGTTTCCAAGTGCGTCCCATCTCAAAATTCACATGGCTTCACATTCTGACCCCAATTTTATTTGTACCGTCTGTGGAGCGAAGTTCACGCTAATTGCAAATCTCAAGCGCCATCAAGATAACCCCAACAGTCACGACCCGAAAAAGAAATGGAGCTGCACCTTTCCGGATTGTCCACGACGATTCTCACTTGAACCAAACCTGAAGCGGCACATCAGACAAAAACATTAGGTGCACAGCTGCTGCAGCATTAGAAATTTCTAGTTATTTACTGCTACTTAATTGACAAATAATTAAGTCAAATGTGCGCTGTGCACAATCATTTCGAATATATGTATGTGCATATAAAAACTTGAGAGTGGAGCAGCTCTATTAAATGACGAGGAAACCATTTTATTTCATCTCTTTCTACGTCTGTATATGTATGTAGCCGTATATAAATTAACATTTAGCTACCACACTAACTAACAACTGGATTAATAAGAGACTAAAGTGGTTTGGCATCCTTGAAATAATTAGTTTTAGCCGAACACACATGCAACAACTCATCCTCGTCCTTTTCGTCATCTTGATTTCTGTTCTCAACAGCGTCGTTGTGAAGCAATTAAATTGCGAAAAAATTATAAAAGGGTGGGGCAACTGACGTGAAACCAAAGGTAGCTTGTCAATAGAAAAACATGCCCTCCTAAATTAGTTACTATACAGTTAGCAATCCATACAGTTGACAATTTCCATTTTTTTGTGTGTTTGTGTCTGATACACTAAAATACCCCAAAATTAGGATTATGGCCTTTTCAACAGCCATTACGAGCAATAGTCTTGCAAATAATACTGTATTCTGCGTTTGTATGTCAATAATATGATACACATTAAGATTGCGATTGATTTGAAGCAAGAAATTAATACGACGGCTCATGCATATTCATAACAGCACATGGCAAAGTTGGGGATCAACTCATTAGGTATAAAAAGGAGTCCAAAAGAAATTAAGACGAGTGGGTGTATACGCCTAATGTCAATTCCATTAAACTGATCACGACTTCTTCTTCTTGGGCCTGTTGTAACAAATCTGTTGTAATATGACTTTTAAATGAATGCTTCAGCCCTCATTGCTTCGCTATCTGCCCTCCTGACAAAGTGCAACCAGACCAACAACCTGAACCCACCTACCAAACTCTTCCATACCTAACCTACGATGCAGTATGTATAACGATGGCAATAAGCTAATGGAATATATCAATTTAATTAAACCGGGAAAGATGCAATATTATCTTGATCTTCTCGTCGTCAAATCCGGCAGGGAAGCCAAGTTTAACTATGCTCATTAACTGCATTTGAATTTGGAGTGGAGACATTCATCGACATAGGCAGGAGCCTCAGCCCAACAGCTTCATTATTCTTCTTCTACGACGACGAGAGAGTGATACAGCCAAATAAATTGATCAAGATCTCATCTCAACGAGCAAGTAATCTCGACCAAGCGAGCGAGCGACCCAGGCGAGGAAGAAGAAGAATAAGAGAACGAATGTTATGTAATACGTACTACTCACTCGTCTAATAGATTATTTAAATGCTGTGTCTTCTATTCAGATTTCCCTTTGCTCGTTCGACAGCTGAATCATCATTCGCCAGCTCATTTCATTTAGTCTTCTCATTAAGACGGATAAAAACTAGTTTAGAAAGAGGTGAGATTTTGCTTGGGGCAAGTGAGACGATGTTCAAAAAGATGGGTGTGGGTTCAACTCTCCTTTACTTTGCTTAATTTTTATATAAAATCAATATTGTTAATGACTAAAATTTACCAGAATTTTCTCCTATAATTTACCCCAGCATGACCAATAGTATGGAAAATAAATAAATTGGGAAGATATTTTGACGGATTAATCAAAGCAAGTCAAATATCGTGCAATGTGACTCATTAGTGGGGCATGAACATTGTGCCATAAAAAGCCATCTTACTTATTATTGTGACCGCAACTCGATGATTAAACTAATGTATTCCTCGTCGTATGTACATATTTTGTCTACGTCTTGAACCAAACTTCCCTAATTATTCGACCATTCATTTCCATTGCACCACTGCCAGCATCATCAACAACAACAATCTCCATACAATTATTGCTGAGTTGATCAATATGAAAGATTGGCGACACAGAGACAGTAAATAAGACACGAACATGACTTTCTACAGCCATTAGTTTATCGAATTATGGCGAAAGGCTCAACTTCAGCTCCTTCGCAAAATGTATGCTCTCAATGCTGGACGATAAATAAAGGATAAAGGAGAGATAATTAACAAAGTAGCAAATGATGCATATCTATAAATTACTACTGCCTCCATTATTATTATTATGAGTCAGCTAAATTATGTCGATAATTTGCGTATAATAATAATATTAATAAATTGCGAGGCTGATAAGACATGCTTGTTATTACCGAGACCAATAATAGTAATATCAGATGAAATTTTATTCCCCACCATAAATCTCCAAGTCATTCGCTCTGTATTTCACATTTCTGCAGCCAGTTATTTTGAACGATGATGATGTCTCAAAAGTTTAAGTAAGTAATAAGATCGAGCAAGAAAGTGAGATGCAAAGGCCTATGCATGGCACCTACATATGCATATTATACACTCACATAGGGAGACACATGACTCTCTCTCTCTCCTCAGTGAATATCCGTCTCAACGAAACCAATAGGAAATCGATAACGTGTGAACGAGATTGAAAGAGAGCATGGATGGCGTCGTATAAAAAGGCAGCAAAGAGGGAAGCCAAAATGTATGCATATACATACTCGTCGGAAATAAAGTTATAATAGTTAATGTCATTTATGAGTAGCGGTTAGGGTAAGAAATTCAATAAAAACTCAATTCGCATACTTGTGTAAAAACCCAGCGAGTAACACAACAAATCGGTCATGCTCTGTTCTCACAGGGAATCCATTTTCCATGATATCGAGCGAATGGATGCAAATGGACCAGTTGAACTACCGTTCCCATAATAATAAAATATCCGATTCTTGGGAATCACTGAAAACGAGACGCAAAGCTCTTTTCTCTTCACATTTGACCACACTTGCACTTACTTCTCAAATCACATGAATTTTTGAACTTTTATTTCTTCACGTATTCCAACAAACCTTCCCAAACACTCAGCAACCCATCACATACATTTTTTTCTCCAGCCACGATTACGCACGACCAAAGTGACATGACTCCAGTAAATCTCAACATACCACACCTGTATTACCGCTGCCAAGATTATTTGCAAAAAAATCTTTGCAAAATTGATTTCCAGTCTGATTTTGACTCGTTACAAAATACACATGTATGTACATCACAAATAAAATATACAAATAAATTGCACCATAAATACACGACCCTTCTGGCTTAAGAGCTTGCTAAATATGTAATGCTACTGATATATAATGTAGATGTTGCACTTATGTAAATAACCTATTACGTCTGAGCTAGAGTTATTAGGAACTGAATTTCAGTAATGCACAAATATTTATAAATTCGGAATGACTCAAGTTTTGAAGGGAGGATTTGTGGTGGTAGTAAAGCTTAATTTTGAAAATTTAGCTGTTGCACAAGAGGAGGATCGAGAGAATTGTCGGTGCAGACAGGAAGGGAGCTGGGGTGAGACTAGTTGGATGCCGCATGTATTTTATAATCAATCGTGGTTAAAGCCAAAGGGGAAAGCAAAGGCAAACGAGTGGTGGAGATGAGACGGATGGATGGATGGATGGGGAAGAAGCCTTTTATTATTAGTTTCTGTTCCGTATATTTATGTGCACTGTTCAAAAAAGGGCTAATTTCAAGGGTTTGCCATCACTCGAACGTAGTACGACATCGAAAGGACTCCAACCAAATATAATTACTATTCCACTACGACGACCATCATCATGCCAAGGTTTCGTACTTCATTGTGGCGGTAAGCCTCCTGTGCAAAATTACTTGCAAACTAACCAGCATCGCAACAATACATGTTTTTATTCCAGATAAGCTCTCATTTCAGAGGAAAGAATCCCGAAACCCAGCTTGGCCTTAAAAAGTAATAAAATTGCCACCAACTGGAAGGCATATAATTTGTTCTTTGAAACAGGACACACGAGCAAATGGGTCGACTTGTTGTTGTTGGTGTCGGGAGGTACGTAGAAGAAGTGGAAGTAGTGTTAGTGATTGTGAAAATGTGTTTTTCTAATCTCCGACGAGGGCGACAAGGAGAAGGGCGAGCGAAATAAACCCTTTAAGAGAGCGAGAAGAAAGCCATTACTGCACAATCCGTAGAACAAGACCGACTTCCTCCTCCGTCCGACAAGTCCTCGAGTGAGTCAAGTGAACAACGTGTCTTGTCAGATACTTCTTTGAGCAAATTACCCCCTTCTCGCTAATAGCCCTTCCTCGGACATTCTTCGCACCCACCAACTCTCGCTCCTCGATTTCATTGAGTTCCACACCACCACCAATAACCTACTTCAAAACTTGCTCCTCTTTCTTCCTTCGCCACTCGGCCGCACTTTTTCTATTTCAAAGTCCTTCCTGGTCATGCCTCCTCACACGACAGACCTGCATTTCGCTCTGCAACAACCACCACCACTCTGACAATAGTGATTCGTCAACACTACTACGGAGGATGACTTTCCCTACGATTTGCTCAACTTACATTTTTATGTGCGGTATAAAATCCAGTGTCACACTCAAAAATTTTATTTTGCAATCTGTCGCCGGGTCAGTGAGTCAACCAGATCAAAATGTCGCCATATTTTCTCAACTATTGTCAATGTTTTTTTAATTAAATAATTTATAATTAGAAATGAAAAATAGTGTCTTAATACCATTGGAAGATAGACGGCGTGCGAAATAATCCATCCGTAGTGACCAGTAATGAGAGTAGGTAGCGATGGCGTAAATTTTGTCACAATATTGAACACCGTACATCCCACCCAACTTTGGACAGGAGGAGGTTTCAAATTTGAACAGTGGAAAAAACGTGTGGTGTAAAAAAAGCTTTTGTACTCGTACACGGCATTAATCATTAAAGAAACACCGACACCACCACCAACACTGGAAGTGAACAATTAAAACTGCTGTCGAGTGGAAGCGATGAATGGGGCTCATGATGATGCAAATCTGAGTTTTTGTTACAATTTTTTTGAGACTACTACCTGCACCTTCACATTCAATGCTCGCATACATACATACAATTCCGTCCGTAGTACAAGTCTCGTAAGCAGTGACAATGTATAATTGTTCTATTAGTTGTTATCCAAGTTGGGAATAAAATAGATTACTTGTAGTCCAAAGAGTTGAGAAACGTAAGAAGCACACACATTCACGCACACAGGGAAACCCAGTTTTTGATTCACTCGGGAGGACGATTGGGGAGGAAAGGAGAGCGAGGAGAAGGAAGTCTTAGTCTTGGGAAGGAGGGAACTGAGCAGACGCTTAATGAGTGGCGAGTAATTAATTATTGGAGCACACCCACCACGATGGCAAAGGAGCAAATCTGCGGCGACGAGGACGACGACGGAGTCTGCGAGCAGGAGAGCGTGTGCGTCGCTTAAACTGACTGAGCTCCGTGGATCCTCCTGCCGCTCTTCAAGTAATAATGAAATTCAGGGAAAGTTGCAGAGAAAGAAAGGGACTCACTAAGATACGCGGTAGTAAACGTATGTATGTGTGTGCGAGTAGTTAGTATTAGCGGAGAAAGAGAGAGAAATGAGCAGGAAAGAAAGCAACGGAGATTGGAGAGGCAAGAACCGGGTATAGTGGGAATGGGGAGGACCATTGGCTCGTATGCACTGCGTGTGAGGTGGTGTGGTCTCCTCTGCTACCCGGGTAGTAGGGCCGTCTCACCCCACGTCTCCCTCATTTCACAAATCCCGACTAACTAGGACCAGGAGTGGTGGGTACTACGACAGAGTATGCATACATACATACATGCAACATACACACATTCATGCAAACCCATACATCCTCGGCAACAAAGAGGAAGCAGCAGAAGAAGAAGAAGGAGCTACTGCTGCTCACTACTTTGTACGTCTGTATGTACACTTCTTCTTCTTCTTTTTGCTCCATCTGAATGCTAAAAGTCATCAAGTTTGCATTCCGGGAATCTTTGGGACGAAAAGAGAAGACACGGGAAAATTCCTTCATTTTCACTATTGATTTATAAAACACCGACGTCAACGAAGCAAATAGCCACTCCGAATCGGTGCAAGAACAAACGACACAGCGATAAAAACTTGCTCCGATTTGCGCGACACAATCGGGTGGAGCGAACTAATAGACGGCACAAGTTAGTTTAGCATGCGCCTTCAGCAGCAAAAAGACAATTTTTGTTCCCTCCGACTCTTTCGCTCACTACTCTTCACCAGCCAGGCAACCACCATACCCCTCCCCCCACTTACTTACTTACCACCACGACTCGCTTCACCCTAACGATTCACACTTGCATAAATTTCCAAAAGAAAACCCCTCCAATTTATATCGCTCCAAACCTTTGTCTCAGACTGCCAATTCTTTCCTGCCATCATCTCCTCCTCCTCCAGCTAACAATCGTCATCAGATATATTTTTACCCCTTTTTCCTCTCACTCTTTCTCTTACTCTCTCTCTCTTTAAACCTTTCTCACAACCACTCACTCACTCACTCGCTAACAATTCCGATGACCAACTTTCTTTCCAACTTTCTTTTAAATTTTCCCATCTCGGGCGACTTCCTGTGCTGGAGCATGAATAATTCTCATTCCGCTTCTACATTTATGCACACATGTAGGTACATCGGTACGCTGAATAGAGTAATAATAATGGTTAATTTTATAAATAAACTTTCCATTATTAAAACTGCGTCATTTTTTTTACAAAATCGATAAGTAATTATAGTAGGAAAAGTTTGTTTATTAGAAATTTTCCTCTTGACAATGTATACAGTTGGCCAATTTGAGGGCATTTATCGAGAAATCAACAAATAGGAATTCATTATAACTGAGGGAAGAGACAGAATTAGGCGATTATTTGCATTACCATTCCATCACTCATTCAGTCACTCGCTTGTGTATTCGCAATGCACTACAGCAACAACATTATTCGCGTTGCTCTCTACTTTTCGTTCGAGTAATCGTCATGATGATGGTGTGGAGTTAGTTTGAGTCATAATTCAAGTTGATTGCCCCCTCTCGACCAAGCTCGGATGCATAGTAGCATGTAATGCAGCATGTGAAAATGATTGTGTTGGAGTGTGTGAGTTATTGGCTTTGGCAAGTAAGTAAGTAGTGGTTATTAATTTACTTACTGTGTTAGACCAGGGCACAATTTGCATAAAAATCGAGTAAGGTTCAATTATGAGACATAAATGAGCTCTTTACACAGTTAGTCACATTCGAATGTGTTGGATATTTAATCAGCCATCTTTTTGTAAATGAGGCAATTTACATGAAGAAATCGGTTCGTTAACACAACATGCTAGCAACGTTTATTGAGCATACAACCATTTTCTTAAATAAATGGGATTACATGCCACCATGCAAGAAGACGACCACACTAGAGCCTCGTAAATGCATCGTTTAACAAATGACAATATCATATGCAAGTATGTACACATGCCTCGTTTACTGTTCCAAAGGTGGAAATTATTTTCTCTCTCCAAATTTTATAATGACATGAATAACCTTGTTAAAATTACTCCCCTTTTTTAGGCTGAATTTTTTTGACTATTTGTTTAAAATCCTACATGTGTATTTATTTACGAAGGCATGCACGGGTGATGATCAGTACACATACGTAGGTCGGGTATTTCTGTCCGTTGTTGTAACTCTCTCTCTCTCTCGGACCCCTGTGCACTTCAACTCAATCACTCACCTGAGTTCTTTTCTCAAGTTCGTGGGGTAGGGCAAGGCAGCACAGAAAGTAAAGACTTCTGTTCAATAGTCATTCTTTGGATTGAGGCAGGAGCCCCCGTGGAGTCCGGTTTTGCCTCAGGTCAGACTTAAAATTCTGAATGGAGTACCTTTCTTCAAGCATACTTTTAGATGGAATGCAGCCCGTCTTTCCAGCCTTCCTACAGCCCTTATCATTAACAATTTATGTGCAGTTAACCCCAACGACGACCAGTAAAGAAACTTGGGTCACAAAGTCATATCTACCTTGCATATGTATGTACGTGGTAAGACGCTCAAACTTGGCAGCCTGCTCGGCACCGTCTCACCAATAATAATATCGAAGATCTTTCGAGTCTCTGCATGCACTTTCTAGTTACTTTTTTTTTATTCCTTAACCTTTCTGATATGATAACTAATATATACAAATTAATTTGTGATCGAGTACTACCTAATTTCCCAATAATTGGTTTTATAAAATATTTTCAAATTTTCAAAAAGGTCTCTTTCTCAAAATTGAGGCAAGTCCGAGTTTAAAGGATCCATTCCAACAGATGCAAGCAACCACCCAAAATCCCTTTCAAGCTCATCCATCAACTCTCTTTTTTCTCTGGATTTGCTGGTATTGCTGGCTGGTATTTTGTCAAACAAACCGTCGTCGTTGTGACCCTCACAAACATAGACTTTTGTCAAACAAACCCCAACCAACATCAACTCACCTCAGAAATTAACGCGTGAAAGCCAATAAACAAGAAGGGACACTTTTCAATTTCCAGTGGAACAAAACAAGATTTTAATACAAAAACTCAGGTTACAAACTGTCTCTCTTGAAAAGAGAAAAATTAAATAAAATTTACCGATATTCAAGGAACCTGTATGAACATTTGGCTTAGCTTTGGGCAGTATTTTCTATTCTTCCTCTTGCCCATTGTGATACAAGGGAAGAAGCAGTAAAGCAAATGAATGCTGAAACTATAGAAGAGCAGAGAGGAAAGAATGGGAGACTTGAACGAACCAAGAATTTTGAATCTTTTGTGACCGAGTGTAAATTGTTTTTAACAATTTTTAAGCAACCTTAAATTTTATTATTCTCGGTTCCTTTGGTTTGGTTGGTGGAGCATAATATTCATTACAAAATTCCTCAAACAAGCTGCAGCTCTCTTCTTGTTCTTCTTAATTGGATGCGGACTGTGTGCAGGTAATTTCTTGAGCTTGTCAACCAACTGAAATACTATGTGCTCTATCTCAATCCACCCATCAAATCCTACTATTCACTCATTATTGGATGGACTCGGGCGACCCTCATTCCTGAAACGGTGGACGCGAAAGCTTGGAGGACATAAACCGTCTCTTTTACCTTTCTTGTTATTCTAAGCTTAAGCTCCCTTTCGAGTTGTAAAGCTGTCCTTTCTGTTTCAAGTCATGACCCCAATTCTTGCGCATGGAACAAGAAAACTCATTTTATAATTAGAAAGGAGAAATAACCCACACCTTATCTCTCCCAGCAATTAAGATTTTGTCCTCCAGCCATTACATTCTACCGCATGCCAGCAGCACTCATTCACCGGACCACGAACGAATCATTTCATCATCATCATGGAAAACTAACCACTACGATATTTTATTTTTATCGTAAAGAATCAAAATTTTACAGATACTTGCTATCCCCCTAGAAAAATATGGATCCTTCTTTCCAGGTGCTCCTCGATCGTCAGTATATCAACCACAAAATCGTTCCACATTATCTTTCAAACACCAAAAAAAGTTTCCACCTTTCCACAAAAATCATGAGATCCTTAAAATATTTAATACATGCAACACATAAAACAGTAAAAGTTATTAATGGATACCGGAAATAACTTTTATAGATTAGAAAATAACACTTTTTAGCGATTGTAGACCGACTGAAATGGTTTTCTTAAGTTTCCTAATTGTTTTTACAACTCATTGCACACTTGAATTTTTTTGCAGATGAAGGTCTCCTCCACACGAAGAAGAAGGAGGAAAATAATATGATACAACACACCGTAAATAAATAAATAGGATATAACCGTGCAGCCATATGCCATCATCTCCATGAGCAGCATCTCATATTCCCGTTGCTCCCATTTTCTGAGACAAAATCACTTGACTATGCGACTTTACGACATACAATACTGAGAAATAAAGAAATTATTGCAGAACTAAAATTCAAGGAAATTGAAGCAGATGTCAGACTCAGGTAGGTAAGAATAGCTTATGTAAAACCGTCCGCGTTACGCAAACAGCAAAACGATACGTGGTGGTTGGCAAATAGAATTTTTAATGTGTAAAAAGAACTTTATGAATGCTTCCAACATTGACATTTCCACCACCATCACCAACATTGTAAATTGTAATAGTACAGCACTTGACAAAACCACGTCTGCTCGCATTTGTCTTGTTTTTTTGTCCAAGTTTTTTATTATTTTACATCTCAACTGCGATCTAAATGTGTGAGCTTGCCTATTTTAAATTTTTAATGTTTATTGCTCAACTTTGTTTCTTGTGTGCAGAGAGCGGACGTTGTATAGTTTCGCTTAATATACAATTAAAGTATACATAAGTAGTCTTGAATTTTAATTTCCAATTTTAGCAAGGACCCCTCGAGTTACGAGTGCTGAGCTTACACATAAACGTATCTATGTACATATGTACGATAACGCTCTTTTGCAATTCAAACGTTTGTAGAAATTAATCGGTCGTTTTTTTGTACGATTTATTCTACAACATTTAGCGATTGGGTTTAAAAATAATTCCTTCCTAGAAACTCTAGTGAGATATAAATAAATTGTATAATACATATGTAAATAGTTACATATCTCTTAATTCTGCACAGCTAATGTGTGTGTATAAATGATTTAGTATTTATCGAATATTTCAAAACAAAATATTAATTCTCATTAATTGATATGTTTAATAATTATCCATTCGGTGTAATGAACTCTGTAATTGTAAACTTTACTTTTTCAATAACAAATTAGCTGAAAAAGTAAGCACTCCAAGCTAGCAGAATTCTTTTTTAAATGAAATTTTTGAAACAATTACGTATTACGTACAGAGATATATACGTACGTATGTACTTATGTACATATCTACGTCTGTGCAACCACAACCACTCCAAAAATAATCTCACTATATCATTTTTCACAATATCAAAAATAAAATAATTGCTTCTGTCTGACTTGAGACTTTATTATAGAACAAAGATATTATATTTCTTGGCTTTTTCGATTGCAGTTTTTAGCTCGTCACCACCACGTTGGTGACTTCCTCTTCGTCAAACATACAAAATTGGCTCAATAATAATCAAAATCTAATCCAAATTTGGATAAGAAATGTGATGATTCCCAAAAATTAGTTGATCAAATTGCAATTTGTACCTCCACAGAGAGACTCAGACATACATTCACGTCACACGTTGTGCATGGCTTTCTTTCTCCCTAGCACACAAAATCAAGGTAAAATTTAGACTCACCTTTACGATGAGACGTTACTACATAAGAGCTAAAAGTAAAACAAACTGACACTTCACACAGAGCACTTTCACACACTTTGAAAAGACTACTGGAGTAGGCGCAAATCTATTTTCAGGGGACGCAAGATCCTGGTAAAGTTCAATTGCATGTAATAGCGTGAACAAATCGTGGGTCGATTGAAGCAACGCTAGGTAACCAGTGAAATTTGATCACTTCTTGTGGCAAATAACAAAACTGATATCACCTAATCACTAAATGAGGATTTTACATAAGCATTATCTCGGAGAGTGTAATTTGCAAAATTAATTACTGCTTTATGTAAAAATATCCATTCAGTCATTCGCATATTACACAGTCATGGATGAAGTACGTATCGTATGTCGGGGAGATAGAGGTGGTTGATTGGGGTCACGTTGGCTAAGTGATAATTAACAAGTTTAGTTTAGCGTTGATTTTAATAAATTAATATCAACTATCAGGAGCAGACGAACAAGTATTATGCTCTCTCCTCTCCGCTCTTCTCCTCCCCGGTGATAATCCAATGCATGTTGGAGAGAGATAATTTATAATTATTATTGTGGCAAGTTATTAATTTTCTGATGTCTGTTATGTGATGCCATGGGAAGGATACAGCATGACCAAAATCGAATCAATGGAATCAAAGGTGAGTGAGTGAGACTCGGATGGACGGACGGACGCATGCACACACAATATGTACACACATACCACGAATGACACTTTGGTGGAGTAAAGTGAGATAACCAAAATCCTACTTGTTATTTCTCTTATCAGCCAAAGTAATTAATAGCAGGATTAACCTCTGCTTGCATTACTTTGATCTGTCACCACACCACCAGCCTGCTTCATCTTCTTCTTTTATTTTTATTGTATATTATCCAAAATTTATGTAATATCCAATACACGAGACATAAATATATATTTATAACATGCACTAATTCTGATCGTTTTCTTGTCTCAAAAAATCACTCCAAGAAATATGTATCACTGCACAAAGACAGAATAAGACACTGATGCAAAAGTACTTGTGAATATATTTCGTACTAAAATTGTCTCCCTTTCTCGGAAGTAGAGAATAAGAGATCCAAGGGAGATGGGCTCACGCGTCCGAGGTGCCGGTTACTGCTAATAATAATAATATCTGCGTCGTGTCTTATGCACTCGGTCGTTGTTTGTAAATATTGGAGTGCGTGGTGGGTGCTGCTCACTACGAGAGAGTCTGTTTAGAACTGTGAGTGAGTATCCGAACCCTGAAGGGGCATTCAGAGGAAAATTAGTAATTAAAAAGGAAAGTGTATCTCATTGGCTGTTGCAGAGTTCCTTCTTACAAGTTCTAACTCAGGTAAGATAATATTATGGACAAAAAGCAGGTAGATAGGCAGGTACGACCACTGATGTAATATGGGAAGAGAGAGACCATCCAATCCCCACAACAAAAGCCGGGGATAAGATTATTGCCGAGATGAACCAACATATCAGTGAGGTTGAGTTTTAGTGGACGCGGGGGTGAGGTGAACCAAACACCATCAAAGGGATATCTCGCTATTGTGTGCTCGTACCTACTCCTACATCAAACCAACAACTCCTATAAACTTTAATACAATTGACAGGGCTGAGCTTTTAACTGGTAACACCGGCCCGATGGTGTGGTGTGAGTGCCACACAGTTTTCCTCTCTCTGTCGTTTTACACTCCTAGCTAAATAGCCGGATAGATGGATAGCTCCGTGTTAAACTTTCTGCTGGACAACATTATACTCTTCTCTGAGATTGAAGAAGATCTATAAAATGTAATGTGTTGTAATGTAATTTTAATTCGCGTTCACCCCGGTCGAGCTTCTCGCGAGGGAGAAAAAGCGAGAAGCAAGATCATCGCGAGGAAGGAGAGAACTTGTCCATCTCAATCGCTCGAGCCGTCAAGTGATTTGACTCTGGCTATTCACATAAACAATTATGACTTGACACTTGACAACGCTTACCACCAATTATTCCAGCATTTCCATGCGAGGTGTCTTAAATGACCTCATTTCCCATGATTGGGTCACACTTTCATTTCTTATTGCTGGACGGCTGGAAAATCTGGTTTCCTCCGCTAATGTCAACCGGCTTATTTTTTTCCCAAATCACGACACAATAATATTATGTTTTCTCTACGTGCATACATATATGGCGTTGCCCTTCCTTCAGCAGTCTCACGTCTCTAAAATTATTTACAGCCTCTGCCATATTCCTTATGAATAATGCCCATGCTAAGTATCTGACTTTCCACAGCAAAAAAATTCATTGATGATCTTCATTCATACACTGTTATTATGCATCCCCTGCCTGTTGTTCCTATGTGGAGGTAGGTATATCGCATTGCACTAGAAAAAGTGTTGTCACTCCCATCACGAGACATGAATTCTCTGCCTATCTCTTCAAATCGGAATGTGGCTTATCTGTCATTCATTTTTTACCGTCTTTTAGTAGAGAGTTCCTCAATCATTGGATCAATCGGAACAATCACCTCCCAATTCACTAGCGAGACATTCCTTGGATTCCAATATTTTCCTCGAGAACATGCAGACACATTTTGAGAGTCAAGAAAAGAATGAATTTAATTGTATGCATAATAATACGTCGTGAACAATATGGGAGCTCGGAGAGTTTTCACCACGAGCCCCTCGACCACAACTACAAAGCCAAACTGACAAACAACAACTGAGGATATGATATGAGATTGAAGAATGTCTGGCTCATTATCAGGCTGGCAATAATAATCAAGAAAGAAAAATTGCTTCGTGGTGCAAGACTGGCTGCATGTACGTGTAATGAACCAACTAATATCACGTAAATATGGTGTAGGTAATCTCAAATGCCTTTGAACTTCAATTAATTAACACCTACACGTTTTCTGCCCACCTGGTCATGTATCATAATGGGCATAGTGCTTTGCAAGGAATTTCCCTTTGCATAATTCCTATTGATTGTTTAACTACTGGGTGCATACAAAATTGAAGCGCAATTAAAACTGAAGGCAGCTTAAAATAATGTTTTCAATTTAAATATTCAGCTTTAATTTTTTCAAGAGAGTTTGTCAACCTTATTATAATACAGCAACTTTAGTTTAATCGAGGGGAAAAATTTGGGCAAACAGTTACAAATAGTTACCGTCAAATAAATTTTCCTAGAAAAAATAAACGTTTGTTATTGATTGTTATTGGATTTGTAAAATATTGACGAGAGACGACTCTGTGTGCCCCATTAGCAATAGAAGAAACACAAAAGTAGAGCTGATCTCAAAGTTGGGTAGTAACCCTTTCATTCCATTCTTCCTCGTCGTACTGGGTGCTAATTTGAGGGTGGTCGACCCAAATTGCCCATCAGGTAACCATATCTGTTTAAGTGCACAAGTGTATTCACAACAACCAAGTCAGGCTTTTAAAATGTAATAACACGAAAGAATTAAACTGGCACGCCTTTCTTAATAAGCACAAGAAATAAGCTTGGGCTCAACTCAACATGTCACTGATGACCACAACTCACGACCAAGTGTTCTCGAGTTACAGAAAACGTTGGAGAACAACAAGAAATTAAATAGAAAGCAAAACTTTGGTGAAAAACTGGATCAACCAGGATGTTGTGCATATCAGATTGATTATATAGTAAATGTAGTCATTCACTTTGGTATTTCCAGCTCACTTTTCTGGACACAAGAAAGCTGTCAATTCAATCTTCCATCATTTACTCGTAATATGCATACATATAATTTATCCGAGAACATGTTACAAACGGAGAACATGAAACTAAACTTTTTGAAGGCAAAACTTCAACTAAAAGTAGACTTGACTTTTTTATGATTCCTATAAATTAGACCTCATTAAAATATTTTCATCTTTTCGTTAAAACAAAATACCAGGAATATTATTATAATGATCTGACGCTGGTTGAGTTTAAATCAAAGTGATCCCTGTAGTTCACATACATACACATCTCGTTGCTGCTGACTCTGCTCAACCGTCCAATTTAATTGGAGCAGTTGGTTGTATGTAGATACATATACTTTGGTGCGACGAGGACTGAAAAAAATACGTTCACCTTCCCAATTTCTCCTATCGAAACTTGAGTGTTACTTGTTCTCTCGTTCCTTAGAGTTCCTTGGATTGAATTGGATAAAAAATGCAGATATTGTTGGAGCAAATTCACGATCATTATGAAAATGAGCTCTAGAAATTGTCCAAGAAAGTACGCAAAAGATGTTATCCGCCAACACCCGTCTTCTTCTGCTGCCTCTCTTATTCCTTGTATCTCTTCAAGTTGAGAGACTCATCATCTCAATTCTCAGGCAACTTCACTTGCTCACATCCATAACAGTTTTTTCTGCCGACGGCACACTCAACTCGAGATTATTGGCCCAATCAAATAGGTGCTTTATGGATCCAATTGAAGCGCATTTTTTTCTTCGAGTAAAGAAAGCACCAGCAGCCATCCTGCATAGCAAAAACTGTGTGAGCTCTTGTTGGATGGAGGTACATACGTATATTTGTATCTGACTATTTGTTAGGCATTGAAAAGTAGATGCATGTTGAAATCCCGTGCCGTCTTCTTTTTGCCTTGTTATAGCTCGAGTTCAATGTAATGTAGTCGTAGTGCAACATCAACAAGACAACCGCCTCCTACTCTCTCTGATGTACAGACGTTGGTACGTTCCAAATACTAATACTTGCGTGCGTCGCAGCAAATACATGCATAAGTAATAGGCATTTCTTCTACTCCTCCATCCATCTCTATAAATGTGTACGTTAATGCAAGCAATCTCGTCGTTATGTTTCCAAGAAAACTTTAAGGGTTCGTGTACAAGTTGTAAAACTGAGTGGAGGGAAGTTGTACAAGGTGTGAAGAATGAGGGAATATTAGTTTGGTTTAAAAGATGCTTGATCTGCATACGAGGAATAATAAATAATAAACTATATAACGAGCTCACTTTTGAGTTCACGATGCAGTTTCTTATCTTACTTTTACGTACGTACGTATATAAGTGTTCTCAGAGTTTCTCTCAGTGCTCACTCCTTTCCCGGAGGCGTGTACAAGTGGTGGATGATAATAGATGCATAAATCCGTGTTTTTAAACTTGAACTGTCTCTTATCATGATGACGGTATATCTTGAATTAACACCTTTAATTGCACACTAATAATTGCAACCTTGACTGGGAAAGAGCACGAAGGCGTAATCAAGCGTGAGACGTGTTTCGGACTTGCCCTCACCAACTGACCTTCACCGACCATCTTCAATATATCAACCCCAACACCCAACTACTTTAATGAGCAACTGCATGACCCAACTATTGGGCAGCACATGCTTCATCATTTACATGTAACTATCGGATTTATATCAAATCATAAGGGCGGACCATCGGCACATTCAACTCAGCTCTACCTCGCTTTTACACCTTCTTCAACCCATATGTCTGTCTGCCTGCCTTCATCACAAGGAAATTACCGCAACGGCATTAAGCCCGGAGTGAGAATGGAATCTCGAAATCTCAACCCCAAAACCAAACCAATACCAGTTATTCCATTTTCTCTATCTCCCAAATCCAATGGATGGATGCATCCCAAGCCAATATTTAATTTTCAGCCATGTTCCACGCACGGGCTTCACAATTTTCATACATGTACATGATTTGCAGAGAGTAAATATGTAGTGCAGCAGCAGGTCTCTCATATGCCGATGAAATAATGTAGAGTTGGAAAAAAAGTAGAGCTAACAGTCCGTCCGTGTGGTTAGATTGTATTTGCAGCTCAGCAAGCGTCGTCTATTGTGTAAAAAAAATCAATAATGGTTCCCCAATCTCCAGTCCCACCAATAATTAAGGTATCGTCGATGTGATGAAAAATAGAAGGCGTTACATTAATGGTATTACATTTTACACACATATTTTTAAGCCCCAATCTCAGAGGCTTAAGGGTGGCAGGGGGCAAGGAAGCAAGCCACAGGACAGGCATACTGCGTGAACTTGATACCGGATAAATGTCCAAGAAGAGATATATCGAGAATGTGACTTCCATGATAAACTGGAGATTTCTAAACTAGAGATTTCTTATAGCTCAACTGCTCCTGATTGCTTAGTTAGGATTCGGCTTCGGGTCCAACACCAACATCGAAAATACCCATTTTACGTCTTACCCTAATGAGAAATCCCTAAAGAATTTACTTGCTCCTCTAGCTGCTCTCGATCCCTGTTTGCTTTGCAACTTTCTTTTTTGTTGTCTAACCTTCCTACTTGTCACAAAGGATCGAAAACATGGTGTAAGTGCTTGACACCGCGGTGTAAGTATACACACACACACACCAAATGTTGGCAAACAACAAGACCCTCCATCGACTTAGATAATAATGCATTATTTCCCTAATAATAGTTTCCCACAAAATGGTTTTACATAATCATTAATTATTTTAGATTGGAAAAATTAATTACAAATTTATAGAATACAATTTTGAAATGGGACTCTAGCGTAGAATTTGTACAATTCTGCATGTGGCAGGAAGGTTAAGAGAAAAAGGTAAAAAAAACTTGAAAATAATGAAAAGGAGTATCGGATAAAGTCGGTGAATTGTGAGTGGGTAACTTTTAACTCGGAGTCGTCCAGAAGAAGAGCAGAGTCCGAGATCTCGAGACTTTGCTGCTCTCTCTTTCGATCCAATATATTTATAAAATATAAAATAATATGAAATTCTATATCCATCGACAACCATGAATAAGGGTGAGCCAGGAGGAAGGATGGTGGTGACTATGCTTCTACATACTCCGCCGAGAGAGAGAGAGAGAGAGAGAGAAAGGAAGAAGTTCAAATGGAAATAACAGGGGACTGATTAGATCGATACTGGTGTGTGTATGCTTATGTGTATCCCTCAATTTTTTATTAACCCCTCAAACCATTTTTGATTCCAGTCTTCTCGGAAATACCGTTTTCCACTCTGCCAACTTTCCTGACGAAGACAAAATTCCGAGGGAGCGCATGCCCTTATTTCATCAAAGAAAACTAAAAAAAATTCTCATTCTCCCTTTTCTCCTGGTCTCTGTACACAAATTCCGTCTCCACTTTCTTCCTCTCTCTCTCTCTCTGACTCCCATCAGCTATTCACTTTTTCCTGAGCACATACATGTACCGGGCTCTGTGTAACTACTTTGTATCGCTGAAAGGGTGTTGGGAGGCTCTTGTCCTCTCTTTTTTTACTCTTACCTTCTCTCTTCTACATCTCTCCCAATTTTAACTGTCTCAAAACTTGCGCACTTTGGGCTGGCGTAATATAGTGGATAAGGTGGAGGTGCCACTGTTTTCAAGAGCTTTCCTTTTCCTCTTCAATTGCTCCCTTAACATGTCTGCCTAACAAGCCTTTTCACTCAATCGATACCACCAAACTTTCCCTTTATCATTTTCAGAGAACCTAAATTACTCAAATCGCTCGCCTTTATTATGGACAAATCCTCTTATGCAACAACTCCATGTGAAACGCAGGAGGCAACATCATTAGGCCAAAACATCCGCCTCAACCTGACCGCCTGCTATACATATGCATGCATATTTAAATACATGATTGGAAATATCCACCAAAACCAAAGGCAAGAATGAGACGCAGAATCATCTCAGTTCTATGACGTACTTTATTAACTGCATGGCTGAAAAGTTAAATTTTTTTGTTACCTGGAATTTTAGTCATCAATCTTCGAATTTTTACAGCCCCAGCTTCTTGGTGCGGATTTGTTGTTAAATCTGAAATTCAAAATAAAAAGTGTTAAATAAAGATCTATAAATACGTATAAAGTAAGTACTTATTTTTAAACTTAACGTAGAATTAACCAGATAGAATAAACACGACCCTGAGATGTGAGACTGAGATGAATGTATGTACGCATCACAGTATGTAACGTGTATGTAATGGTACAGAGATTTGCAAACCGAGACATAACCAAATCGCACCCCAAACTGCACTTGCTGGCATATGTCAAGTTGGAGCAGATCAAGGATACAGACATGAGATTTGACAATACATGTACATGCATGCAAATAAATGTGCAATGAACTTGTCCTAGGAATGTGTGTTGTCTGCCACTCGCCAAATAACATTATACGCATCAGTCAGTGTGTGGCCGGCTATGTGAGTGAGAACTTGACGAATAGTTTGGCTGACCCAAAGTACATTCATACTACATGTGTAAGTACATGCGTTAAGTTACGTGAACTTGTATAAATATTTAGTGAGTGTGAGTTGCTGGGTATTGTTATTATTACAAAGTGAAAGCCATACAAAGCTGAACTACTTACATAAGTCATTAATTGTATCGATACGTCGTTTTTTCAAAACTGAAATGTGGGGAACCTCAGCTGCACACTGGTTGGTGCGCAAGAAATATATTAATCCGGTTGGCAAGATCCACTATGTATTAGGCGACTTGACTAATCCACCAACTTGATTTTTAATAACACCCATTACGCCTCATTGCTAATTGACTCTATGTACACATAACTTGTATGCAAATTCATCTAATTATATGCGAGTCATCTACCACGGTGCCCAGCCTCTGATCCCAGACTTTGGCATAACTGCATATTTCAACCGACTCTGGAGTGGAATGAAGCAGTTTAGTTGATGAAACTATGCAGGTTTTTATAAACACCGTGTCCACATCTGCTCTCCTCTCCTGCACAACAACCAAGCAACCAAGTGTGTAATAGGTGTAATCTAATCAAGCCCTCCACCTATGTATGTGTGCACGTAGGTACAGAATATGTACACAAATGTATGACCATCTTCCACTATTTAGTTGCAACTTGAAGTCAAAGGAATAAAGTCAAAGTTATGCATGCGAGGCTCAGCACATCGGAAATTGAGATTCCACAGACAGTGTGCTCAACACTGGAAAATTCGTAGGGACGCGTCGTTAGGCGAAACACAATTAAAAATGCTCAAGATGCACAGATACAATAAAAGGACACTGAATTCCTGGGGACAAGTTTAGAAATCCGCCGTGTGTTTATTCAAGCAGGCCAAGAAATGACAGATGAAGTAACGAAGGTTGCTCGGAAAAAATAAACCCTTCTTTTCCTCATGGCTGGCATTCTCTTCTTCCTCTTCTTCTTATTTACTTTGTTGTTTGTCTTTGACTTTTACGATTAAAGAGAAAAGCTGTCTTATTATTCTTTGGTTAGTTAGTTGATGAAAAAATTGTATTGTGTTGGGTAATAGTTGAAGATCTAATCAAGCATTTTTAACTTAATACCACCCAGAGTTGACAATTACTTGGACTGTATTACAACCAACCTCGATCTCTAATTAAAATTCAACCCCAGCCAACAGGCTGTGACATTATTTTGTTTCTTGTAGCTATAGACTCCTCACAGTCCACCTCATTCCTCTCTGCTTTGGTTTGAATTAATTAAAAAAGAATCTGACTTTCAATTTGACATGATAAAAATTAATAAAACTAACCACAGCTCGACATTTTGTTTCAAGCCGGATGAGCAAGTCACTTTTCTCATTCTAATTTCGAATTACCAGGTAGGAAAGAAGGACTCAAGGTTGAATCAATGCATATGTACATGTTTCGTAGTTGGATAATATAATATGTATGTCTTTGAAGCTGGAGCAGACAGTTTGGAGCTAGTGCCTTTACTGCCTTTTACACAGTTCCAGTTAGTTAGGGTTCTATGCTCAAATTTAAACTGCACTGCGAGTAGTACACATGATCCTGAGTTTTCTAGAAATTATTATTCCTCCCATGCTCCCACACCTCATCCTCTGCTGTAGGTTTATATTCGACGCAACTAATTGTTAAATCACTTTAGCTTTGTGACATGTCAGACTGTATGCCTCCCTCATTCGAATTCGACCCAACTCACCCTCTCTCTCTCACATTTTCCAAGGGTTGGTATGCCATGCTGGATGCTACTTGCATTCACGGACCGACCTAGACAAAAGCTGAAGCAACCATCACAATAGTGAAACTATCGGCCAAATGTAAACTTTCAACGTGACCACAAACCAAAAACCAAGCCAGGTACGAGAAGGAGGAACGTTGCCTGCTGCATATCGTCATCCCTTGGATGGAGGTGAATAGCGCAGTGCCGTTAAAGTGAGAGTGAGAGGAGAACTGCCCTTAATGAAAATAATCAACACGGCCAAAGTGCTGTACCGTTTTAACGACGAGGGAAACAAAGCCCACGTCGAAAGAAGGGAAGAAAGATCGACCATGGTGCAGAAGAAGAAGAAGGAGAGAACCAAGCCCAAATTTTTGAACGGTGTGGAAATGAGATAGGTGAGTAAACCCAGTCAGGAGGAAATAAAGCGACAACACAATGCACTAACTAACTATAAAATGAGTTGGAGTTAGAATGTGTAGAGTCGCTTTACTTGATGTTATTTTATAACAACATAACCTATGCTAATCACAACACCTGGAATAATTAAACAGAAAAAGGTTCATGTTCACATCGAGAGAAAACCAACCATCATTCACCTTCGTCAAGGTTAATTCCTTTTACGACAGCGTTCATTTTACAACCTCGCTCCACAGTTTCGTTTCATTTAGAGAGGAAAAATGTTGCTCAAGGAGAAGAGTTGGAGAGAGAAGCGGAGACCCCGTAAACAGACTTTGATTGTTCGATTGGCTTAAACAGTGAAATAAAATGAACCTCACTTAACTTAAATTTCATCGAGAGGTGATTACTTACGAGAGGAGAGAGCGGATTGAGCCGAGATACAGAGAGAGTGCAGAGATCGGCCAGAAATCTTCTGAAATGTCAAGTCAGAGCTCATAATAAAATCTAACACCACCTGAAAAGCCGAGAACCACTCATAAGGCAAGTACAACTCCCAACCGTACAAAGACTTACAACAAGACAGGAGAGGACAGTAAAATGAAAACACTGGATAATTTATACACTTTTATGCACCATGCTCTTCATTTTATTTCATTCATGTTAATCCAGGATTGTAAATTGTATCTTTTAGAAGTGAATTAAGGAGAAACGAAAAGTGACGCTGCTCAGGATCACAGCGAGTCGGAATATATAGATGCCTTCAGCTTTTTAACTGGAACAAGCACTTGCAAGAGTGTTTTATTTGACGTTTCACCACCGGATTGTCAGGTTCAACTAATTGCAGATAAGTTTCATCAGACTCTCAAAAAAAGTTTTTTCATCCAACATTCAGCAATTACATATATGTATCTAAGTCTGTGCATATTGTGTACGTAGATGGACGAACAACGTCACAACCAATTTTTATTGGGGGGCAGCTACATAAACTTAATGAGAGTACAAACAGGCGACATTATATTTTTATCGATCAAATAAAAAAGGTTTCCAGAAATTTAAATAATAATCATCACCGCGACCGGTCACACAAAATGAAGGCGAAGAAACCAAGGTACTCTTGCTAATAATCTTATCTAACCGTGCTTGTTTTTACAACACATACGTAATTATTATTGCTAATAAACTCCAAGTACGCTCACACACAATCTCCGTAATGCCAAACAGAAAATAATGATTTGTTAGGAATTTATTCTCATTAGTTTTAAACCGACGACAAAAGTGACTCATGTTTACTCATTATTTCCTTTGGGTGAATAAATCATTATAGAAAATCGACTGAAAAGGACCGTAGAACTTAAGTGCACTGTATTTATGACTGTAGTTACATGCAGACGACTTATTATAAACTCTGCATCATCCACTCTGTCAAATTTGTGAGCCCGTCGAGTTCTTCAATCCTGTCAATTTTTAATTTAATCAGCACCTCGCGAAACCCAACAAAGACCGGATTTTCTTGGTTGTGCTTGTAATTTGTGTATACTGCCGAATAGGGTATGTATAGGACTTGCATAGAATAGCAAATAAATTAGCGTGTAATAGATGCAGACACTTGTTGTTTTTTAATAATAATTTATATTGTACAACCATCATTCCTAAAAACCATCATAATGTAAACCTTAACGTGGGCGGTATGAGTCCATCCATCAAGAATAACAAGAGATCCACAATGCATTTCAGACCGTTGTATTATTATGTATTGGGATTGCATAGTCCAATTAAGTCTCGTCTCAGCTAATCGGATTTGGCTGATATGATATGCATTTGTTGTACCGAAGATAATGTAAAAAGTGTGATAATAAATAATGTTCGACTCGAAGGAATCCACGCAGAAAGAAATTGGTGCAAGAAGTTTTTTAGTGTAGAAAAAATTGCTGCCAAAAGCTGCAGTGGTCGTGTAATATTCGTGGCAATGTCTGCTGATTATTCATTTAATAACTTTTCCTAAAAACAAGTCTTGTTCTGCATATAAAACTGTTTTAATATTCCGGCATTACAACTTTGTAATTTGAATTAATTGTATTTGTATGCATATTTTGCATTTTTTATTACCTACTCTATTTATTTATTGTCTAGCGGAATGGAATCATCGTACTTAAATTTGCATATTCTGTTTCATTTCCCAAATTGAAATGTGCATTTATTACTTGTTTTGGGTAATCTAAGATTAAAGTAAAATGTCGAAAATCTAGGAGCTGTGGATTATATTTCCTTGTGTCTCTTATGCAACTCGTGTATAACATTTATTACCGACGCTTTTACTCTTTTCATTAAGAGAGAGAGAGAGCTTCTTTTAGGAGCCTACAGATCGAGCTCAATACACTCAGACCCAAGTTGAGTTTCATTTATTTGCCCAAAATTTCTGCCACAATCGACGACGTCTTTATGTAATTCTTCGAGGATCAAATAAATTACAGATGGAAATTACTTGTTATCTAAAAATGCAAATCATGCCATAAAAATGTAAATTAATTATGATAATTACTAGATTTAATACTGCATAAAAAATACTGGTGTAATTTATATTGCATTATCATTCTGAAACGGAAAGGTTGAAATGTTTTTACAACATTGGGAAAAACTCAATTTAGTTTGACAGAGGACACGATTGGCAAGTGAGTGAAGGAACAGAGGACAGGACAATATTCCATTTGGCATTCTCATGCTGCACATGACATCCATCTGGCTTGGACTCTCAGCCCCAATCTAGATCAATTCACGGATGATGAGATGGAAAAATTGAAAGTTCATACATCGGATAACAACTGACAAAATTTCATTTTTCTCTACTTTCAAAGTCTGGAAAAACCGTCAATTTGATTTATTTTCTCGATTTGAGCATGTTTGATCATTCAAACGAGCAGGGAAAATATACATGCATATTATGTGCATACGTACTCTCCTGTCCTGCGTATCATCTTAATAACAGAGAATTTTAGATTAGATCCAGTTTGAAATAGTGAAATGTAATTGATTCATATTTTGTGGTGCCACGAACAAAAAAACAATGAAGAAGTAATTACTTCTGCATTATAATTAAGGGGTAATTAAGGCACACAAAATAGATTTAGAGATAGTTATTAGATAGCAGTTTACTGATATAAAATACTACTCTAGATCCTGATCTGAGTCAAAAGGAATGCTGATCTGAAAAAGGAAATCGTGAGCTATTGAAGAAGTCCAAAAATGCAAAACAAGCAAACACCGTCTCAACATTTTACGTCGAAGGTGAATTAAACCAATAACTAAGCAAACGTCCAAGACATAAACGTCTCTTTCAAAAGCAGCAGAGAGTAAAAAGTTAGTAAACTGGATCGGATGATGGCTCCAGACAGCTAAGCGCCTTTTCATTAATTACATAGGTGCGGGGTTATCAGGAAGTTAAACTCGAGATTTGATAATTGTACGGCAGTGCAATTTGTACGCATACATAGATGACACGAAATTTACTCTGCAATAATGTGTATTGATATTGCGGCATGTATATTTATATTTCCCAGTGGTAGGATAGGTGTTATTCCTATTTTTTCAGGTATCATCAGCAAATTCAATTAAAATACAACCAAGATGAGAGTGAGTTGGGTTCTGCTGCTCCAAATGAATATCTATGATGTGAATCACTCCAGTTTTTACTAGTTGTCCGATAATAACAATGTCATTGCACTTGTGAGTCTGACTGAAACAACTGTCTGATCAATAAACTATATGGCGTTCGCTCATCATGTTTCTACTCTTCCATCACCACCACCACCACGTCCACGTTGAGTCAAAGATTTGTTTTGCTATCACTGCTCGTGAATGATTGCGAATGATGAGAAGAGCGTAATAGTCGTGGTTATTATCATTAACTAAAGCACTTTACCCAATCGCTCTAAAATATTTCCCCAATAAATAAGAGCTTGAACTTGGAGAAATTTGAGCAACTTCGTGTTATTATTTAATTATTGGTTCAATTCAGACTTGAATGGAGACTGGTGACTTGATGATCTCATCGACTCATCAATTATTGAGATTTGAACAAAACCACGATTCGAGATTAAAGCAATTTTATCTCGCATCGAGATGTTGATACTACACATTAAAATGTTTTATGACACGGATAATTACATCAGGGCATGTTAAAGTCACGTTGCCAACTACTGAACGCAAATTACACTTAAGCATTAATCATGAACACAAGTTCATGCAAATATTCCGAGTGGTTTCTTCGGTTGGAGACGACCACTAAAAGATTGCCAGCATAACAGGTCAGAAATCAAAAACATCACGATTCCTTTACCCTGTGATTAGAATATTACCAGAGAATACAGTATGTCCTACGATACACATTGCTTCCTTTTCCTTTACTCCTTCGCCCAGCAATGTCATGAACATGTTAAATATCACGAGATAAGGCAAATTGGGCATTGTCTCGGGATATCTCTATTCTCACCTACCAAATGTTCTCCGCTTTTCGATATAAAAACAGCTCCATTTACTGACAAGCCATGCATGAATTTTATTAATTGCTTTAAACTCCAAAGACGAAATAAAAGCCAACAAACTAGAAAATTATCTTGATCAAATTTTGCATACATAATTTATGTGTTTTTCTCATAATTCTGAGAATGACATTAAAATCTAATCAGTAATTAATTTAAGATAAATCTACATATCTTCTTCCATGTCGATACATACAATCCAGACGCAACTTTCCAACTAACTAAACTATATATCTCAGAAATGAATAAACTACTCATGAAAGAAAATATGAAAAAATAAAGTGATATAAATCTCTGACTAGCAATTATATACATACAAGTTTTGTATTGAGATATGGATTTTGTGGACATTTTTTGTCCCCATTTCTCGTCTTGCTGATTAAATTTAACTACTGTGGAAAGGCTCAAAGACTAATCAGACATGAGAGATACAAGAGAACACAAATTAAGGCTCCCTCTATTTGTAATCAAGCTCTCAACATTGCTTGACCACAAATAACCCTGTGATTTCTTCTTCACCCCAAATATTTAGTCTGCTATTTACTACATCGCCACATGCACCAGTCTCACTTCATTCGCCTTTATGCCAGAAAATACAACTCACCATGGGAGTGGTTGTCGACCAGAAATTTGCACTATTTCAAAGGGGGCTTTAGTATGGAGCTAAAGTAAAAAATAAACAGTCGACGTACATAATAGTGTACAATACGAGCACAAAAAGTCATGTTTGGCTGATAACCTGCTGTTATTTTTAATGGCGGATAATGACTGAAAGGGGAATGCCAAGGATGAGGAGGCTGTTTCATCATCATCGCCATCATCATCATAATCATCACCATCACAAGATTTCGCATGATGGGAGGTTGAGATTGTTGGAAATAGCAACCAAGAAGATACCACAAACCGAAAAGAAAGCACTGATTATCTCATGGTGGGAAATTATCTCGACCAATAATAACCCAGTCAACGACGACGACAGGACAGAAAAGTGCTATTATTATAACT